AATAATACAAAATGGACAGAGTACGGATAAAAGAGTCAACCAATAAATACAAAAAAACAGAAGTACTCACTTTCATCGTCGTCTGAATCAGAGATGTCCACATCATTTTCCCGGATGATTATTCGGGCTGGATAGAAACAGAGAGGCTTGTAAATAGTTACCTTGTTCATCTCCAAAAAATCTTGCAGAAAATTTTATAATCAATCAGTAAGAAACACAGCTTTCCTTTACAGGTTTATAGCAGTCTCCCACAGAGTCTTGGGGGGCTGTCAACCCAGGCTTGAATCCAAATTTCCTTGCTTTTAATTCCTATTATGAATTCTAAACTCAACAAATGAGAAACCCCAGCTGCTATTATTCCTCTGGGCAAAAAGGCAATTTTATCTGCTAATCAGTAGGGTTTTTTGGTAAGACAGATTTTGTTTATTTATTTTTGGGTTAACACTGGAGCATCATTCTTCCCTCCTCCAAAGTAGATTCATTCTATCTTAGGTGATGTATACAGAGAGTCTTTCCATGTTTCTGTTTCTAGTTTTTGTTTTGGGAGTTGGATAGCTGTGTCCTTTGGGATGGAGGGTTCATTTTTTTCCTTGGCTTTTAAAATATTTCATCTTCTATTTCTTTCAGTAAAGCTGGGGGGAAAAAAATACTCACGTGGCACAAAGTGTGAGACGATCATCACCAGGCATGGCCTAAGATAGATGGTCTGAGCAGACACTAAGTTACTCAGGAAAGCTAGATACTCTTCCACCACAGGCTGACTTCTCCTCAACCAGGGCACTTTCTGCATTTTTAGAGAAAACAGGATCAGAAGTTGGAGCTCCTGTTGTGTCCCCCAAATCAAAAAGTAAGAAGCGCATCCAATGTAACTAGAGGATTCTTACCAACAGGATGGAAATTAGTTGTTCAAACTCCTTGGTCAAAAACGTGATAGAAGACCGGAATTCAGACAGCCAGTTAATAATCTGATCATCCTAAAAATAGAAGCCATCATATCTTAATTACTGAACTGCACTGGCTGTCAAAGGTTTTACCTGGGGGAGGTGAAGGGTTGTTTTTAAGATAAAAACCATCAGACCAATAGCCTGCCACTTTGCTCACACATTGCTTGCCACAATTAAGTGTGGCAACTAGATTAGCCTCTCAGTTTTGAAATAGCAGAAGTTTTGTGGGGTCCTTGGTGCTGTCTGAGGTTGGTTGTTTTCCTGAAGACATTTCATTACCCAACTAGGTAAAATCATCAGTGCTAGGAGTGAGATTTGCTCTTTGTCTCCCTTTTAGCACTGATGTTATCTAATTGGGTAATAAAATGTCTGCAAGAAAACAACCAAACTCAGAGAGCATGAAGGACTTCACAGTTCAACCTTGAGCAAAACAAATATTTGTAGTTAAAGAGTTTTGTCCTGCACTTTCCCAGGAAATCTGTTTGCCGGCTCCCTCCATTAAAGGCAGAATGGGAGAAACCAAGCATTTGTGTAGTTTAGTTGGATGTTCAAAGAGACCCAATAAATTAGACCCCCCGCTCCAGCATATGCATCTAAAACATGTTATCATATTGTTACTATTAATTACTATTGTTACTGGAATTGGGTATGTCTATTTTAATGAAGAGAAGGACGAAGGGGGACATGATAGCAATCTTCCAATATCTCAGGGGCTGCCCCAAAGAAGAGGGAGTCAAGCTATTCTCCAAAGCACCCGAAGGCAGGACAAGAAGCAACGGATGGAAACTGGTCAAGGAGAGAAGCAACTAAGAACTAAGGAGAAACTTCCTGAGAGAACAATTAACCAATGGAACAACCTGCCTCCAGAAGCGGTGAATGCTCCAACACTGGAAGTTTTTAAGAAGAGACTAGACAGCCATTTGTTTGAAATGGTATAGGGTTTCCTGCCTGAGCAGGGGGTTGGACTAGATGACCTCCAAGGTCCCTTCCAACTTTATTATTATTTTGCCATAGAGAGGAAAAGGAGATGTAGTCCCTCTCAGCAGAAATGTCTGCCGTACTAGGATGACTATTTGCAAGAGGCAAAGAGCACTGGGTAATATAGTTTTCCCAACATAACTGACATGTGACAGTATTGAGTAAACTTATGATTGTTAAACCTGACAAACAATGGCGGATTTAAGAAGAGTGTGTAATATTTTATTTTATTCACATTCTAGGCTGTGTTTGGGTAATATTCTGCTCACTAATTATACACTATAACACATAAAGAATACTAAAAAAAAAATTCAGATTATTTCATTCTTTTCTTAAATCTAAAGAAGGTATTTCAGAGTATTTGAATATTATGGAAATCTTACTTTTATGTCTGGATCCAACAGCTGATGCTTCAGCAAATCAAACTCAGTGGTTTTGCCCTGAAAGAGAAAACGGCAACTTTTCACTAAAGAACTCCAGAAATCCTCTTTCCAGATATACAGTAGTAATAATTCCCTCAGCAGCAGAGAAAAATAAAATAAAATAAACACTTGAGGGTGAACCCATCAGTATTAAAAACAGAAAATGTTATGCATGCATCCCATTCATCTGATGTATTTTTCCTTGCAGGCACTGCCCACAGCATTACCTGTTGATACTTCAGTAGAATCTCTGTCAAAGTACCACCAAATCTAACCGTCTTCCTTGGTGGCGAACTCAGAAATTCATCCTCAGCCAACATGTCAGAAAATCCTAAAAAATTGCAATGTAAGTTTGGCATATGACCATTACAGGGGAAAACATTCGATTTTGATGAATCCACTATGATAACCAACCAGTTATTTACGTATTTATGTATATCCTGCTTGTATTAGTTTTATAAATAACTCAAAGCAGTGAATAAACACAATCCTATTTTTCCTAAGAATAACTACCTTGTGAGGTGAAATGGGCTGTGAAATAGGACTGGATAAAGTCCCTCAGCTGGCTTTGGTGCCTAAGGCAGGACTATAACTCAGCATCTCCTGGTGATTGATCTAAAGTCACCCAGCCCGCTTTCATGCTTCCAGTGGGACTAAAATTCAGTCTCCTGGTGTCCCAAAGTCACACGCCTGGCTCGTGCCTAAGGCAGGACTAGAATTCACCATCTCCTGGCTGAACTTACTAGCCCACTGGAGCTTTAACACACAACCCATTTAGCACAGCTTGGTTAGTCCTGCTTAAAGCTATTATCTGAAGCCCACAAACTGCAACTGTTGTCAACAAGTCAGAACAGGGTACAGCTACCAAGTACAGACTGTGGCTTACAGTTCCATCTTTTGAAGGCGGTGTAAGCCAATCAATCTTGGGTTCAGGCTTTATGACAGCCTTTTTTTTTTTTTTTTGCTCCTTGTTGAGATGCTCCTGTGACAAGGAGGGCTTGTTGGAGAATGAATTCAGACATATTCAGGACTGGCCAGTGGGAGACCTGCATCAAGGCTAGTTGGAGGGTTTCTGAGTATTCCCATCTGCTATCTTTATCTCATTTGGATGGCTTTTAATTCTCGCTGCTTTTATTATTTTGCTTCTGCTTGCAAGATGAGCAGCCTTGAACCTTTATTAAATCTTTGCTTCTATCAATCCAAAAACAACATTGTGGAAATCAAATCAATTACATTCTGCCTTTCTAACACAATGTGTGAAATCAATCAGCGGTGTGACTTTATATCTACATCTATTACATCTATCTGTATCCATCCCTATCATCTATCTATCTATCTATCCATCCTCTTTCTCATCTCTCTCATCTCTTTCTCTTTATCTATCACCTCTATCATTATGTCTCTCCCTCATTTCTATCAATCAATCAATCATCTATCTATAATTTCTATCATTATCTGTCCTGCTTTGCTTCACCCCAGTCGAGGACTGCAACTCTCCGCATCCTGCAGCCCAATATACAACCGTGGTGCTGGGGATAATGGGAGTTGTAGTGGAATCTCGTTCTGGCAGAGAATCTACCCTCCGAGCCTCGGCCCTGGAGGGCCAACAAAATCCCATCGCGCAGAGTCACATAGAAGACAGGACTCCTCAGTCTGGCCTACCTCACAAGGCTGTTGTGAAGTAGACGACACAGAAGAGGGAGAGCGAAAGACCCCCGAGCCCTTTCCCCTCCCCTTGCGGCCTGCACCTCCTCTCCCCGCTCGGCAGCTCCGCCGGCTCAGTCGCGTTCCGTCCTCGCCTCGACAAACCTCCGCCAGCGCCGCCGCCTCTTCCCCCTCATGCTCCCCGAGCGTAGAGAACCCGGTGCGCACGCAGCCACAGCCGCTTCCGCCCGGCACCGGAAGCGAAATGCCACTTCCGCTCCGGTCCTGAAGGAGAGAGGCCAGGCGCGCCGCCTCTTCCGGCTCGCGATCGAACGCCGCATTTGCAGGAATCTCTGGTGCGCCTGCGCAGAAACGAGCGGCGGCATGGTAGCGCAGGGATTGTCCAGTATTCAATACGGGAGTTAATGTTTACGCTTTGAAAAAAAAAAAAGCCTTTTTCTTTTGGAAATAAATGCAATAGCTTGCAAATAGTCAACAACTTCACATTTTCCACGGTATTGCTTTTTTTTTTTTTTTGCTTTCTTTTGGTTACTTTTAGACCAGTTTCAAAAAAAAAAAGAAAGGCTAGGTATATTTTTTACAAATCAATGCAATATATTGCAGTCGTCAAAAGTTTCCCACGGGCTGGAAGGTTTAAAGTCGCTGATTTTAAGCTTCCCTTAAAAAGGCAAAGTACAAGTCAGGTATGGATCTCGGAGGTCAGTGGATTCCAAGGGGATCTATTTTCAACCCCCTTCCATTTGGATCCAAGTCTCAGGGTGACTCAACAGGCAGTAAAACTTTTATTTATTTTTAAAATGTGTTGTTGGGCACCGAAGGGAGTTTTATAGACTTTTTTGACTTTAGCTTCAAAATGATGAGTGCTTTGACAATTTGGTGAATATGTTTACTTTAAAATTTTAAGTTCAGAAGCCCTAGTGCTGGTCCGTCTATTATATAATGGACATCAACCTTGTCCAGGCCCATAAATTAACTTTCGCTTCAGTAACTGAGCACAGTCCTTTTATGATGCAGTTCGACTGTCACTTGGAGGCATAAATAGTGTTTCCAGGGTGTTATAAACTGTGTCAGAGAAGGTATGTTTATGTCATTTTGTGGTATCCAGTGACTTTGAGGATTCTTGTTTTCCACGATCTTTCCATGAATTAAAGCTTCCAATCAAACCTGGAAAAGAAAACAAATTCCACAGGTTATTTCTGCTATTCTTGGAACATTGCCTTAGTAAAGTAGTTATGAAATGGACAAAGTGGGAGAGGCTTGGACGAGGCTCCAGAGTTCAAATGCAGAAGTGGTCTGCTACAAACTGCCCCCTCTTCGACATTTAGGAGATTTTTAATCCCCCCTTTGTCATTTTTGTAAATAACCCAAGGTAGCAGACATACCTAATATTCGTCCTTCCTGCTATTTTCTCCACAGAAACAACCCTGTGAGGTGAGTTGGCTGAGAGCCAGGGACTGGCCCAAAGTCACCCAGCTGGTTTTCATGGTTAAAGTGGAACTAGAACTCACCATCTCCTGGTGATGGGCCAAAGTCACCCAACTGGCTTTCACGCCTAAGGCAGGACTAGAATTCACATCTGCCTTGTATCATTTGTCTGAAATGGTATAGGTTGGACTAGAAGACCTCCATGGTCTTTTGCAGATTCTATTCTATTCTATTCTATTCTATTCTATTCTATTCTATTCTATTCTATTCTATTCTATTCTATTCTATTCTATTTCTCTTTCTATTCTATTCCTCTTCCAATTCTAATAATTCTAATTCTATTCCATTCCAGCCTGGGCTCTTATCCTACACCACTACACTGACTCTTTTGCATAGTTTTTCTTAAGTTCTTTAACTTATGCGATTCTTTGATTTTTAGCCAGGGCTGAGCGCCCTGGGCAAAGCCCGGCTCTCTCCAAGTAGCCAAACAGCCAGTCATTATGACCTACTCTGCAGGGTTATTGCGCCGACGTTGGAAAGGGAGATGGTGGGCAGGGAGGGGGGCGTGCTGCCTCTTGCAAGAGCCGGATCGGATGCCCCGTCCTGGGGGGGCAGGAACTGCTGGGATTGCTGGGACGGCTGCTGCAGCTTCTCCGCCTCGTCGGGGCCGGTGCTGGTGCTGATACTGGAGGCGGCGAAGTGGGCGCGGAGGCGGCCGGCCTGGGACGGGGCGGAGGAGGAGGCGATGGAGGAGGGCAAGGAGAAGTGGGTGCTGAAGGCGCGGGCGAGGAGAGCCAGACGCCGGACCCGCCAGCTTTCCAGGCTCCAGGCGTCGCCGCTTCGGGAGCCCAGCCCCACGTCGTCCCGCAGCTCGTCCGGCGGCACCTCCAGGTTGCCCACGTGCCAGAAGACCCACCAGGGCAGGCTGAAGAAGACGCTCACGCCGCCCAGGTAGATGAGCAGGTCGGAGACGGACGTGTCCAGCAAGCTGCCTACCACCAGCCCCGCCAAGCCCAGCGCGTCGAAGAAGAGCGCCAGCCCCAGCGCGCACCCGCACCGGCCCCACTTGCGCCGGAGGGTCTCCGACGCCATCCGCCCCTGCAACAGCCCTGGGCCGGAGACCCCCTACCCTAGCCTACCTCGGGGGCGGAGGGCCTCGCGTCATCCCCCTGGAGACGCCCACCTGAGCGGGGCGCACCTAAACGAGGTGCGCCCGGAGCCCCCTGCGCGCCCAGTTGCGAGAGAGCATCCCCGTCCTCCCTAGTTAGTCCCTGAGGTGCAGTTGGGACACACCTGGCGCTCCTGTGTTGAGGCAGGGACACTACCTGAAGCCCCCTGCTCGCCCAGTTGTCCAGGGAGATGGAGGAGGGGAGGTGTCCACTCCTGCTTGGAGGACCAGCAGGTGGGAGGCAGGGCAAGCCCCCCCAACTTGCAGGGGGGCACTTCCCCTTCCTCCCTCCTTGGTCACTGAGCTGCAGGTGGGGCTCACCTGGAGCTCCTGCACTGAGGCAGGGACACATCCCTTTCTCCCCAGGTTGGTCACCAAGATGGAGATAAGACACGCCCACTTATACCTGAAGCCTCAACTGGGGTAAGGCAAGCCACAACCCCTCTCACACCTTGTGGGGACATAGGTCCCTTTTTCACCTGGCTGGTCGCCTTTTCGCCTAGTTGGTTACCAAGACATACTCACTCTTACACTTTGAGGGCTATGTACTTCACACCTGCTAGAGATGGAGACGCACATACTCGTGCCTGTTGGGATGAAGGGCCCTGCCCTACATATCCGCAAAGATAGAACCCTTCTCACCTAGTTGGTTATTGAGACAGGATATGCCCGGTCACACCTGCAGCTGAAGGAGGGCCATGCTCCTCACACCTGAGACCCCCCCTTTCCCCCCATTGGCCACGAAGATGATCACGATGGAACCCTTCACATCTGGAGCACTGAGGCTGGGCCACATCCCTCACACTGCAGAGACCTGCCCCCTTCTCACCTAGTTGGCCATCCAGAAATTTTTTTTTAATTTAGAAAAGCCTGTATCTTTGTACGAAAAAGGTTGTAAATTGTGCAGCATCCTAGATTTTTTTTTTTTTTTTACATTTATCAAATTCTAAAAACGGCAAGAGGGAGAAAGAAGATTGAACCTGCCTTTCCTTTGCACTGAAAGGTTAGTGGCTTGAGAAAGGTAAAGATGTTTTATACGGACTGCTGGTTTGTATAAAGGTCCAGATGTGTAAAGCTGGTCCTAATTCTGAAATGTGATTATATACGCAACAGGAGACCGTCACATTCATATCTACATCCAGACGGAAAAGGCAGCTCTTTGGAAAATTCAGCTTCAGAGAACAAAATAAAATAGGACGTTGTTTTATTCCCACAATGAAAAAACAAAACACAGGATGTTTTTATAAGTGAGCCAGCATCGAATAAATGTCTTCTTTGCCAACCTTGCTTTGATCTTGGTATGAAAATAGCCCATTTTCCTCCACTCAAAGGGACAGCGGCAATTTCATTTTTCTCAATTCCCGTTTGGGGGTTTTAGGTTTCTTGTCTGATTTAGGAGCTTTTAGCCTTTTAGGAACCACAGTTGGTTTCGCCAAGGACTGCTGGGCATCCTTGCTCTGCATTTTTCCCAAAAAATCTTCCTTGGGCATCTTGGATTTTCGACCAGGCCTCTGTTGATTTGATTTCTCTATGGCTGTGGCCTCTCCAGGTATTTCTGGCTGTGAAACAGGAATCTCTGCTGACAAACTGGTCTTCCTTTTGCTACGGAGCCTCGGCAAGCCCGTCTCCAGCTGGTTTTTTTCACTCACTCTCAGTTTTGCCACCTATTTGCAAGAGTGAAAACCAAGACAGAAAGAAAGACACATTCAGAGAAAAACTGGCTGAGGAATTCTGGGAGTTGAAGTCCACACGCCTTAAAAGTTGCTAAGGCCAGGAGACACTGCACTAAATTGAGAAGCTTTAGGCCAGGGCTCTTCAAACGTGGCCCTTTTATGACTTGTGGACTTCAACTCCCAGAATTCCTCAGCCAGGCACGCTGGCTGAGGAATTCTGGAAGTTGAAGTCCACAAGTCACAAAAGGGCCACGTTTGAAGAGCCCAGTCTTAAATCTAACAAAGAAAATGGAGGCTGGCTGAGGAATTCTGGGAGTTGAAGTCCACAAGTCATAAAAGGGCCAAGTTTGAAGACTCCTGCTTTAGGCCTTTCCCTGTGGAGGAGATCAGTTTCTGGCACAATTCAGCTGAGGCGAAATAAATACCTGCTCCTCCTTTTTCTCAGCGGGCTGCGTTTCCATAGGAACCAGTTGTGGAATGTCTTCCTCTTCTTCCTCTTTTGATTCCAAGGCAGTGGGTTCCACCCCGTCCATTTTAGGCATGTCAGCTTCAAGAGCCCCACTCACGTTGTCTTTTGTGTTCGCCTGATCTGTGGTCTTCGGCTTAGTCTTACTTCTCTTTTTCTTTCTTTTCACAGTCTTAAAAAAGGAGAAATTGTTAAGGTGGCAGCCCTTCGTTTTAAGATGGGCATCGTGCTAAACAAATATATTTTGACAACCCTTCTAGTGTGGCACTTTCCCCACTTGACTGGTTGTTAAGTGTTTAGATCAGTGGTTCTCAACCTTTTCTTCACAACAGACCCCCTTTAAATACCTGTTATGGCCACAGACCCCCAAGACTTAACTCCCAAGATTTAAATCATAACATTTCTTCAACCCTTCGTGGACCCCATAATGCAGGGGTGTCAAAGTGCCGGCCTGTGGGCCGGACACGTCATGCGGAAGCTGCACCCACTCCATTGCCGACAATGGCAAAACCATCCCAATACGTTGCGTGATGTCATGAGCTTGTCATGTCTGCCGTAATGCCATTGTGGATCCCCAGAGCTCCGTGGACCACAGATTGAGAACCACCAGTTTAGATGATTTCTAAGAATATTTGTACCTAATTGCCGATGATAACGGCAATGAAATATTACTAAGCTCTGCAATCAGCACAATAAAATTTTTTTACAGGCAAGAGCCTGGATTGCTGCTGAACACAGGCCAAGAGGCTACAAGACTGAGATTCACACTACAATGCCTGCTTAAATAGACATTTTGTCACACAATGTATAGGGAACACCCAGCCCCGTGAGGCTGACTGGCTGATTGTGCCGCTCAGGATCTCACCCGTTGGATTCCGGCTCCCTTCTTTTTCTGAACAGCAGCCACACCATGGAGAGAAGAGTGAAAGACAGGAAGTGCAATAGATTTGCTGGTTTTGAGGTGAAGAACTTTCACGCTTTTCCAGATCTGGAGCAACATAAAGATGAAAAAAAAAAAAAAAGCATCTGTAGTGACGTAAAGCAATCAAGCGAAAGAGCAAAGCCAAAAAATAAATCGCATTAAATTGCTTTGGGAATTTTGAAATGGAATCCTGAGAATTGTATTAATTTAAATACGAGACAGTAAATACTAAGGGGAAAAGAGAGGAATTATTTAATAGTTTGAGATCTGTACCAAAGATATTTGTATACTATTGAATTATTGACCAACTCAGCCGCCACGTTGCTTTTCAAATATTTAAATGTAAAATTAGAAAATTAATTAAAAAAATAAAATAAAAAGTTCAACACTAAATCGAATTCAGATAAGGGTCAACAGAATTCAAGAGGGGCTGGACTTAGATCATTTGTGGCAATGTAATGATTCTAGGCTAATAACTCATTTAACTCCACCACCCATCCAACTCTGCCTGCTCTTCTCTTACATCACTGAATAGCTTTACCTGTGGAGCTTTGATAGCTATTGCTTTGGCAGCTGCCATAACATTTTCAGTGATCTCTGACGCTTCCATGCTGGTGTGCCCAATGCGAACCATGCTGAAAGAAATCCAGAAATTCTTCCTGTTGGATTACAGTAGCACCATCTTGCGCTATTCTCAGGATCACAAAGGAAGGGGCTTGAGGTCTGCATGCTATGGACGACCTACAAACTGCCCACTCTTCACAAAAAACCTAACCTCAGCATCATCACATCAGAGATTCCCATTTTTTCCCCCTTTTGGCAGCCCTCTTGGCTTGCCTGCCATTCCCCTCTAAGCTGCTCAGAACCCCTGGACTAGAGTAAAAAAGGTAAACGCGTCCCTGTGGATTTTACTCCGCTACTTGTTGCTGACTACAGAGGGCGGTGCTCATCTCCATTTCAAACCACTGAGCCAACGCTGTCTGAAAACATTTCCGTGGGCCTGTGGCCAGCATGACAACACAGAGCGCTATTACCTTCCCACCAAAGTGGTACCCATTTATCTACTCGCATTTGCACGCTTTCAAACTGCTAGGTTTGGCAGGAGCTGAGGCAAGGACGGGACCTCACCCCATCGCGTGGTGCTCGGGGTTTCGAACCTGAACTGCTGACTTTCTAGCCCAGCATCTTAACTGCTGAGCCACCGTGCCCCCCCCCCAGGACTAGAGAGGCACCCCTATTAATACAGGAAATAAACATTTCAGCTGTAAGATGTCTAGTCAAGCTACTTACTAGCAACTGCCCTTGTTAGTGACTGGGAGGATCGTCCCATGGATGCGTTTATTGATTTCCTTAGCTAGGTCCTTGGCTTTCAGATCCACACAGAGAGGTGCCCTGGTATTGGAGAGAGATGGTAGGAAGTGAGATTTCTACGGCTTCAAATTCAGCGGCCTCATAACGGGCCAGACCAAATTAATCCCAGTTGGGGGATGATGGGGAATGGAACTCAATGTATCTAAAGGCCTCAAGGCCAACTGAAAGGAAAACGGAGCAAAACAACATAAATTAGGCAAGCTCCATTCCTTTTGATGTTCCCTAAGGTCCTCAGAACCTGGTTGTGTCTCCAGGCAAGACCTAGAAAACAGGAGCCATGTATAGATGGCTCCGCTATTGATGGCAGATCTATTGATAGGTTGATCTATTTCTAATTTTAATTCAATTCACTTTCTTTAATGTTGGCTTTTTGATCGTTTTAAATACATATGTATACGCGGTTCACGGTAAGCTGCCAGAGTCCCTTTTTGTGAATTGGGCGGCTGTATAAATTTGATAAATAAAAAGGAGGGCAGAGTTTTACTTTTTACACTGATAGAAATGTTTTCCCATCTGCGAAGGTAGCAATCTTCTAATACGATCATCAGACAAGAATAGGGCAAAGCGGTTCAGGAGGCGACGTTTCGCTTCAAAGGGCTTGTATTCCGTTTTGAATGTTTTATAGGAGATGACCTGCAAAAAACAGAAGGGGAAAAAAGCACCACTGGGAGCCCCTGTTCCTCCAGCTTCCTGGTTACACAGTATGTATTTCACTTTTTCCAGTGCTAATATAATTGCATAAATCAATGGATGCAAGTCTATTTCTATTAATAAACTTTATTGTCATTGTATGTGTATACAATTTTACTTGACACCCAAAGACCAGGTCCCACACACATAATCCCCAAACACATTCCCACCCACCGCAGTTCCCCACCCCTAAGACCACCCAAAAATCCACCCAACAGACCAAGTAATACTGTTTATTCATCCCTGTTTATCTAATATTTAACATCTTAATGTACCTTTGTTTTTATGATCTTTGTAAGCCACCCAGACTTGCTTGACACTGGCTAGTATATTAATTTAATAAGTAAGTTGAGGATTATTTGTACAAAGCAAGCTAAAAGTCACACGAATCCAGTGCAACTGTGCAACCAGTACATCCAAGAAGCTGAAGAAACTTCTTGGAATGAGAAGTGAAATGTCTTCAAAGGAAAAAAAACAAAGAAAGTCCAGCTGCCTCTTAAAAAAGCACCTTTGGGGCAAACCATGACCTGGATGACTAAGAATCTTCATAGACCTTTAGATAAGCAGTGCAACTATGGTTTACTCAGCAAGTCATAACTACAAGTTTAAAGAAACTCTGGCGGGCACCATCTTTGGACCAGGCCAATGTTTTGCTCCGTTCACAAAATAGAGACAGCAGATATAGGACAAAGCACAGCTTTCATTAAAGTTTCCATACCTCATTGATGCGTGTGATCCCATGTTGGTCCAGCAGCTTCTTGTACATGGTCTCAGTCTGTTCCGCGGTTAAGCCAGGTTCATCTTTGGTGAAGAGGCAAACCTCAGATGTGTCTGGCAGAATGCTATGAGGCAGGTTTCTAGGACACCAAACAGACCGCAGCCTTCAGCAAAGCAACAGCGGTGGGACCGCTAGAAGATGCAATTAAAGGCAGTCCTCGACTTACAGCAGTTAATTTAGTCACTGTCTGAAGTTACAGCAGCACTGAAAAAATGACCCTTTTGCACACTTAGTGACGGTTGCAGCATTTCTATGGTCGCGTGCTCCAGATTCAGACGCTTGGCAACTGACCTCATGACGGCTGCAAGGTCACAAGATCACTTTTTGCAAACCTTGTCTGAAATGGTATAGGCCAGGGGTAGGCCACCTTGGCTCTTTTATGACTCGTGGACTTCAACTCCCAGAATTCCTGAGCCAGCCATGCTGAGGGGAAAGGGAGAGGTTTCCAAGCTGAGCCATTCTGGCTCAGGAATTCTGGGAGTTGAAGTCCACGAGTCATAAAAGAGCCAAGATTGCCTACCCCTGCTGTAGGGTCTCCTGCCTGAGCAGGGGGTTGGACTAGAAGATCTCCAAGGTCCCAACTCTATTACTGATTATGATTACCTTTTGACAAGCAAAGTCAAAGGGGAAGCCAGATTCATTTAACATATATGCTATTAACAACTGCAATGATTCACTTAACACGTGACAAGAAAGTTTGTAAAATGGGGCAAAACTCACTTAACTGTCTTGCTTAGCACATAAATGCTGGGCTCAATTACGGCCGTAAGCGGAGGTCTACCTGTATTGTTGTCCTTTATTCAACTTCAGGGCTGGCCAATCTTGGCAACTTTTGAGACCTGTGGACTTCAACTTCCAAAATTCCTCAGCCAGCTATGCAGAATTCTGGGAGATGAAGTTCACAGGTCTTAAAGCTGCCAAAGTTGGACATGCCTGCTCTACATATAAGACCTCTATGTTTGAAACTGGGCTAGTTTCTTGCTGCATCTTAATTTCTAATCTTCCTAGCATGCCCATTCATGAATATAGTTTCACGGGGGTGAAAAAGCAGAACTAAAATACAGAGGTAGCCTTACATTTTGATTACTTGCTCCTTTGGTGGGATTTTCCAGACAGTAACCATCAAAAAGACATTCTGGTTTACGTCCAACAGCACTTTGTCTCCGGACTTCTGTTTGTCTGCATTATATGCAAGCAAAGCCTGAGTGGCTTTTTTGATCTGGAACAAAAATTGTGATCGCTCATAGAATCACCATATCTCAAAGCCAAGCACAACACTTTGATCCAGATGTGTTGTTTTCCCACAGCCCTTAATCAAATTGGCCAAACAGGTTGGCAAATAAAGGCATTGTAATCTAACACTGATTGCAAGTGTATAGTATAGGATACAATTTCTCTGTGGTGCTGAAGGAATAAACCAAGAGTTCTAGTCCAGCCTGAGACTTGAAGCTAGGCAGCCCCGGGGAAAAAACAAGGGGCTACCACTGCTAAAAGTCTTACAAAGGAAACTGTCACATTGGGGTGGAAGTTAAGGTGCCAGGCTAGAAATGGGGCGGGGCTGAGTTTTAGTACCACTTTGGACTAATTCCTCTCTCAGTCAGCTTAAGTCTAACCCTAACCCTATGGTTGTTGCTGCATGCTGACAATAAGAGGAAGTAGCATTAGATATATTTGTCACCTTGAGTTATTTATAAAAATAACAAAGGCTGAATTAAAAAAAAATATGCAAAATTTAGAGCAGCTTTGGTCTAGTGCAGTGGTTCTCAACCTGTGGGTCGGGACCTCATTTGGGGTCGAACGACCATTTCACGGGGGTCGCCAAACAAGGCTGTCCGCCATTTTTCCCCCCTTTGGCCACGCCCCTGGCACCCGGTGATGTATAAGTGGTTGGGGGTCACCACAACATGGGGAACTGTATTATGGGGTCGTGGCATTAGAAAGGTTGAGAACCACTGGTCTAGTGGTTAAGGCACCAGACTAGAAAGTGAGAGGCTGTGAGTTCTAGTCTTGCTTTTAGAGGCAGAAAAGCCATCTGGGTCAGTCACTCACTCCAAAACCAGCTTTGGGCCAGTCACTCTCTCTCGGCCCTAGGAAGGAAGCAATGGCAAACCATTTGTCTGAAATGGTATAGGGTTGCCTGCCTAAGCAGGGGGTTGGACTAGATGACCTCCAAGGTCCCTTCCAACTCGGTTATTCTATTCTAACCACAGCTGGGGAAAAAAAAACTTGCCAAGAAAACCGCAGGGATTTGGTCAGGAGACGAGATTAAGTCGAAAGCACCAAATAATATTAAGAATAACAGCAATAATTTACTAACCGCCCGACTCCCTGCGGTGATGTTAATAGGAGGCAGTGCGAACCCGGGCAATTGAGTTCATCGGGCAACGCGTGTCGTGGGAACGCAACTCCTAGTAATCACGCCGCCCATGAAAAGGCAGCGTCCAGCGGCAGATTCGGGGTCCCTTCCCTGAAGCCCCCGCCTCACCTGGCCTTGATCCAAAAGCAGCAGCGCCGCCGGCTCCACCTTTGCCTCCTCCATCCTTCTCCTTCCACGTGGGACAGCCTTCTCGGGGGCGTCGCCGGTCTGTGACGCAATCAGAAGGCGCGCCCCCTCTTTCGCCAGAGAAGCGGAAAGGCACCATAGAGGTAGGAAAGGAATGCGGAAGGCAGAGACTTCCGCTCTTTAAACCGTCGAACTTGGGAATCGCCATAGAAATGAAACCGGAAGCACAGGTGGGAATGCTAGAGAGGCCGATAGAACCAGGACTTCCGATTTTCCTGGAGCATATATGGAGGAAGAGTTAAGGAAAAAGACAATGCGGAAATCTGGATTGCATTGGGGGTGCCCTATATAAAAGCCCCGCCAAAGGTGGAGCGTCACAGAGTATTGCATATCCATTCCCAGCCAGCATGGGACAAGTTTAATCTCTGTAAGTCATCCAGCGTTTCTCAAACTTGGCGACTTTTGTGGACTTCAAGCCCCAGAATTCCCCAGCCTGCATGCAGTTTGCAGATAACCAAATGGTTTATCCAGGGAAAGCAGGAACTGTATTAAATTGGACTCCAGGGTTGACCTCCAAATTTGTGACGGCCCCTAAAATTTGCTGGTGACCCCCAAGAGATCACAATAAATAAATACATATATAAAAGTATTTACTTAAGGTATGGCACAATACACTCTTGATAGTATCTTTTCACTAGCCTCCACTAGTTGTGACACTGCTTAGCTTTTACAAAACCAGCCAAGGTCATTAATTGATGCTTCTTACTGTGACTCTGCTTATATGAAGAGGGGAAACGGGATTCTCAAGATTCAAGTGCTCCAAGATCAGAAATAACTCTCAGTTCTTCAGCCAAGAAACAGATAATCAGCACAATTCACCTTGCCAAATTTATTTTGCTGACCTCCCACCTTTCTATTAAACATTTCATTAATGTTCAGAGGCAAGCATCCCATGGGTCATAAAGGTCAGAGTGAATATTTGAATCTGAAGACAGCCAAGTCAATCGGCAGCATCCTTCTCCCACATATATGGGGCTGAGGGGGGTCAACTGAGGCGGCTATGCAGTAAATTCTGCTGCAGCTGGAGTGAGAGACAGGCTCAAAGATGCTTTTTCACATCATTTTTCCTTTGAAGACGTTTCGCTTCTCATCCAAGAAGCTTCTTCAGCTCTGACTGGATGGTGGGGAATGGAAAGATTTATACTCCTTGCAGACAGCTGATCATAAATCCTTCCATTCCCCATCATCCAGTGAGAGCTGAAGAAGCTTCTTGTATGAGAAGTGAAACATCTTCAAAGAAAATCAAGAAAGTCCAGTTACCTCCTGAAAAAGCATATTTGGGACAATTATGACCTGGATGACTGAGAATCTCCATAGATAGTGACAGACAATGTGGAATACTTAAGGCACTTGACTAGAAATTGAAAGACTGTCGGTTCTAGTCCCACCTTAGGCATAAAAGTCAACTGTGGTGGCCTTAGGGCTAGTCCTTCTCTCTTGGTCCTAGTAAGGAGGCAATGCCAAACCACTTTGCTGGGAAAACTACAAAGACTTATTGAGACTTTGGTGCAGAGATGAAGACACCAGGCTGGAAAACAGGAGACTGTGAGTCCTAGTCTCCCTTGAACACAAAGCCATCTGATTGTTTTGAGAACATGTTTTTTGTTTTTTTTTTTTTGTTTCAGTTAGATTTTGGAATGAGTACGTTCAAGATGGCAGCTAGCCTAGCCCAGCTTTTTTTTTTTTTTTTTTGGATCAGGCATTCTCCAAGTGTGGGTGCATGCTTACACAATTCTCAGGGAACTATTGTTTTGTTGGGATTGGGGAATGACAGGGCGATTGGCTTGATACCAGTATATTATCTCTCTTTCTTCTGCATGCCATGTCAGGCTCTTTTTTAAGTTCTGGAACTCTACACAGAAAGTTTTGCTCTAGTGTGAATGTTTATTCCCAAATACAGTTAGTAATCCAACATGTCAGAGTGCCAGACAATAGAATGTTGTCTACTCTCCTAGCCTTTTTTTTCCTTTTAAAAAAGCTCCTTTCACCCCAATTTGTTACTTAAAAACAAGGAATGGTCCACAAATAGTTTTGCTGAAAAAGTTACGATAATGTAAAGCTTTCGTATTACTGCAAAAAAAATTAAAAGCCCAGATATTTGCAGACATAAAATTTATTTAAATTTCCATGCATTATGGTAGCTACAACTGTAGTCATATGAATTTGAAGGACAATCAACTTTGCTTCGTCCGTACAATGTGGCCTTACATGAAATGGGACGTTCCACAGTTACAAAGGACAAAAAAAAAAAAAAAGGGAGGGTGGCAACATTTTAAATTTAGAGCTGTGTAAAATGAAATGGTTGTGTGACTGCCTATTTTTTTTTATTTTTATTTTTTTAGAAATGGGGCACATTCTCCTTGGAACATGCCAACCAGTTTGGAAAAGCATTTTGAACTTTGCATTTGGAAAACTGGCTGTCTGTAATGAATTCTAGACTAGGAAATACAATTAAATAAGTATAAGCACCACTGTTATTCTCTTACAGCTTATATTCCTAGCAATGGTAGTGATGCTGCCTGCCACTCCTTGCCCAAGATACAAGCTTAGTATCCTAGTCTTACCAACTACCCAATGCAGTGTTTCTCAGCCTTGGCAACTTGCAGGTGTGTGGACTGCAGCTCCCAGAATTGAAGGCTGGCTGGAGAATTCCAAGAGTTAAAGTCTACACATCTTCAAGCTGCCAAAGTTGGGAAGCACAGGTCTCAATCCACGTCCTATCATTCAGCTTTGCTTCCTTGTAGGTTCTTGAAATTTCCTCATCCAAGCGCCCGGAAACTGTGTTGGGGCTGTCACTTTCCGAAAACTCAACCCCAACATCGGAGAACTGGAACTTGGATAGATCTCCAGAAAACCATTTGGGGAAGGTGAAGCCACCTCACATTGCCTGGTATGCACACAAAAAATTACAGACTCTGCTTGATTCGACTGAGATTTAAATGACTTCCCTTTGAGGACAAAGTGGCAATTACCGAGACAACATCCAGTTGTTGATTGAAGAGGATTATACGCCTCTCTCACTCATCGCCTTCCCTTCAAATCAACCTCTCCAAAAAAGAAAAAAACTACAAAGATTCTCCAGGCTTCCAAGGAAGGTAGCAGAGGAAGTTTTAAAATCCTAAGCTGGTGCCTGAGTTCAGTTTTCATACTGAACACGATGGCGTGCCAGAATTATTGCAAGAGTTGTGATATAACAGTCCTACTTGTTTTAGTCACCAGCCTGTGCTGCTAGGAAAAAAAAAAAAAAAGACAATAACGATGATATTCTCCAGGACAGAGTTGGAAGATCTTACTTTTACCCTGTGCCTGCAAATTTGTGTTAGATTAAGTTTTGAGATATATTGATGTATCGCTAATGAAATAGTACCATATTTGCATGAAGCTATTTGGATGGGTTTTGAACCCCTGAAAAGGGGCAGAGGAAACTTTAATATGAGTTTTGTCAATGATCTAACTCGGTGTTTCTCAATCACGGCAACTTTTAAGGTATGTGGACTTCAACTCTCAGAATTCCCCAGCCAGTCGTGCTTACTGGGGAATTCTGGGAGTTGGAAGTCCACACATACCTTAAAAGTTGCCGAGGTTGAGAAACACTGGTCTAATTGCTTCATTTAAAACACAGTCAGGGATCTGTCAAAGGTAGAAACCCATTTTTTTCCCCCCTAGAAAACCCCAAATCGTCAAATGTTAACTCTGCAGGTTAAACGTGAATGCGGCAGGCATTACATCTGGATAGAAACGTTATTCCGAAGTAATTAAGATACCCCCCAAAGAAAGATTTCAAATTGGAGAGTTTATTAACATGGTAATTTGTAACATGTGCACGCATGCACACACCTGAATGATCTGCCTTGAAAAATGCTTCCGTCTGATGGGAGGGGACAATTAAACAGAAATCCTGTAGACTTATTTTTTTTTTCATAATTCTAGGCAATTATGTCCACATCACTTACAAAGCTATTGCCAAATCTTTCCGAGGGAGCTGAATTTAGGAAGGGGGGGGGGGAAGAGAAGGAGGAGGAACAACCAAAACAAAACAAAAAAAAATAATGAAATTTTTCAGGGGTAAAAATTCAACAGTGGCATAGCAAAGCTCTCAATATGAGAAAGCTGACAATGTGGACCTTTGCTGTGAAATCTCATCTTTGCAAAAGGGGGGGGGGCAATGGGAAGAAAAGAAAGAAGGCAATGTGGAATAGGGCTCTGCAAAGTCATTTCCCCCCCCTCCTTACAGTATTTGTGCAGGCTTGTCAAAAACAATGCTTAGTCCTTCTCTGGAACCAATTTCAGAACTTTACCAATTGCAATGGTTTTACCTAAAAAAAAAAGGTCAGAAAAGCACCATTAGGAAATGGGGTTTTTTTCCTCAGGGTCTCACATCAAATAAAGCAAAATATGACGGCCGGTTTGGTCTAGGGCAGGGGTAGGCAACCTTGGCTCTTTTATGACTCGTGGACTTCAACTCCCAGAATTCCTGAGCCAGCCATGCTGAGGGGAAAGGTTTTCCAGCTGAGCCATGCTGGCTCAGGAATTCTGGGAGTTGAAGTCCACGAGTCATGAAGCGGCCATATTTCCCCCATGCTGGCTGAGGAATTCTGGGAGTTGAAGTCCACAATTCATAAAAGGGCCATATTTCCCCCATGCTGGCTGAGGAATTCTGGGAGTTGAAGTCCACAAGTCATAAAAGGGCCATATTTTCCCCATGCTGGCTGAGGAATTCTGGGAGTTGAAGTCCACGAGTCATAAAAGAGCCAAGGCTGCCTACCCCTGGTCTAGTGGCTAAGGCACCAGGTTAAAAAGCAAGCGACCGTGAATTCAAGTCCCACCTTAGACCAGAAAGCTGGCCTGGTGACTTTGAGCCAATCACCAAGTGACAATCAGTTTTAGTCCTGCCTTAGGCATGAAAGTCAGCTGGGTGATTTGGGCCAGTCACCAGAAGACAGTGAGTTCTAGTTCCGCCTCACCATGAAAACCAGCTGGGTGACCTTGGGCTGACCACTCTCTCTCAGCCCAACTCACCTCGTGGGATTGTTTCTGTGGGAGAAATTGAAGGAGGAAGGGGTTTTGGGTACATTGGCCACCTTGTATCTTTTGCCATTTGTAAAAAATGATAAGGCGGAATATAAATAATCAAAAATAAGCACAAGGTCACTGAAGGAATGGTTTGCAAGTCGGGGACTACTTGTAGATTTGAAGTGCCGCTGTCCGGAGATCTGGATCTTCCCCCAAAACAACAAGAACCATTTATGCCTGTCCTACCTTCGTCTCTTAAGGTGAAGCGGCCCATTTGAGGGAAGTCTTTGAAGGTCTCAAGGCAGATCGTTCCTGCCGTCCGTAAACGGGCAATGCATACTTGATCTTGTTTGACAAAACGGGGCCGTGTTTTGCTCTTCTCTCCTGATTTCTTGTCTACCAGGCAGATTAAGGCCTGCGGAAGGAAAAAGAAAACCCCGTGTGTGTGTGTGTGTGTGTGTGTGTGTGTGTGTGTGTGTGTGTGTGTCACACTCATTTAACAAGCGGAAGCCTAAAGGAATGCTCTCCGTTTTAACATTTCCTCCCAAGATCTTGCCATCTACTCCAAAGCATTTGCTGCTGTCCTAGAAAAAGCAGCACCTTCTCGTTTTTATCCTTCCTCCAAAATGTGGAACTTTTGAAGCAGCTTCTCTCTACTAGATCGAAGGAGCTGAGCTGATTCTGGTCGATTTAGCAGGCTGTGTGACTCTAGCCAATGCGGGTTATGTACTAAAGCTTACGGTTTACTTTGGATAAATCCAACTTATGAAGACCTCGTGAAAACAACACGAAGCTAGGCTAAACGTCTGCAGAGATTCTCAGGCATCCAGACCATGGTTGTCCCAAAGGGGCTTTTTCAAAAGGCAACTGGACTTTGTTTTTCCTTGAAGACAATTTCACTTCTCATCCCAGAAGCTTCTTCAGTTCTGGAGCAGAACTGAAGGAGCTTCTTGGATGAGGAGAGAAATGCCTTCAAGGAAAAACAAAAGTTTGAAAAAGCACCTTTGGGAACAGCTAGGCAAAACTTGCCTTTTCCCCTTGGATCCTTTTTAACCAAAGACATTTGCCCTAAAGAAGGCTAGTTAATAGCCCCTTCGCTGTCTTTGCCACAAGCGGGAATTTGTCGATCCCCAAACACTTACTGTAATCTCGACTTCTTCAATGCAGGTATGAATATGCAGCACCGCATTGTAACCTGGGCAGATGATGGATTTGTGTTCAATGATCACTATCTGTAATCAAGAAGAGGCCAGTTCAATCAATCTGGTTTCAGTAATGCCTATTCCAAATTGGGTGGCGTGATGGCTCAGTGGTTAATAATAATAATAAAGTTGGAAGGGGCCTTGGAGGTCATCTAGTCCAAAGGTTAGTCCAGTTAAGACACTGGGCTTGTCAGCTGGAAAGCCATCAACCCAGGTTTGAGACCCAAGCGCCAGGAGATGGGATGAGCTCCTGTCCTCGCTCCAGCTCCTGCCAACCCGGCAATTTGAAAGCATGCAACTGCGAGTAGATAAATAGGTACCAATTTGGTGGGAAGGGAACAGAGCTCCATGACATCATGCTGGCCACATGGCCACAGAAATAGCCTTGAAACAGAGATGGGCGCTGCCCCTTATAGTCGGCAACAGCGATTCCGAATTAGCGAGCAGTCCTCCTTCAGGAGGCATACCTGAGCATCAAATGTGCGTCCAGAATGACACAGGTTATTAAGATCACAGAGTATAAACCCCGGGAGAATTTCCTCCTCTTCGATTCCTTTCAGTCGGATCTTCAGATTTTCACCTGGAGCTACAGACTCGGTCTCTACGTCGTCGGAAAGGATCCCAAGGACTTCCACGTTGTGCTGGAAAAAAAGAGATCGTGTCTCCATGACGTGTCGTGCATGCTTAACAATATTTTAGGGCTGTGCAAAAGGCTGAGTTGTTACCTGCCATCTACATACTGGGTGATTTTGGGGGGGGGGATACCAAGATTAATATCTCATGAAATAACAGCATTGTTTTAGATCGTCTTGCTTTTTGGGTTTACAATTACATCATGCTCTCCCAAATAAATATTTCTGCATGTAAAAGTCTATGCTTCTATCTTATTTCAACTTGGTACATCCAGGAATGCCAATAGAAGAGAATATTTGTAGCTCAGGACTGAATTGTGGGGTCCTTGGGGCTCTCTGAGCTTGATTGTTTTTTTTTTTTCGCAGACGTTTCATTACCCAGCCAGGTAACATCATCAGTGCTAAGTAGCACTGATATTATCTAGCACTGATGACGATAAGGATTACCTAGCACTGATGGTGTTACCTATTCTACTTTAATTTCTGAAGTTGGGTGGCATATAAATTTAAGAAATTATCCTCATCATCCTGACACTTCACTTGCTGTCACTTTATTATCCCAGAAATAATACTCCATTGAGCCAGCGCTGTCCCTGTCTAAGGAACTATAACTTCTGAATTTTTAACTTGGAATTTTCCGTGTTCTTTTCTTAAGGAACTCACAACCAATGTTTTTTCCCTTTGGCAAGCAAACTGAACAATGTAGGAAAACATTCCGTTTTTAAGACACACATATGAAACGTGTTACTGTATTTTGAATTAAAAACCCTTGGGGTGGGGGACAGAACTGTCCCTCTTTTTGTTACGAACCTGCTGTTTTGACTGCCCCAACAAAATCGGGTAGGATTGGTCTTCAATCTTTTGAAAACTAGGACCTAAAACATGGCCCTAAGCCAGACAAGACAACCCTCATACCGGTTATTTATAACTTCAGAAACCACATCCCATCCACTAAAATTTGAGGACTGGTGGAGAGCCAAAAGTTGCGAAACGAAGTCCCTTGCTTGAAGGCAAACATGCTGAGAAATATGTGTTTTAAAGGCAAGAATCAGGGTAGAAAGAATGCCAGGCAGGAGCAGAGAGCTATTTAATAACCATCACTGGCCTTAAGAACTATTTTCCTTGTTGGCTTTCCACATCCTAACAGTAGTACTGCGGATTTTTCACGGATTTCAGGGAGAAATACGGAGCTTCTGAGCCCATCTTTAGGATTTGGGCACTGTCTCCAGCTCGAACGAAAATTTAAAAAAAAATCTAATTTTCTTTCAGAGCGAGAGTGAGAACATAGGAAGATTTTACCGTAAGCCTTAAATGAGACTGCGTTTTTTATCACTGTGAACTTAGGCACCCTACCCCAGCCTCTCCTGAAAATAGTGAAAAGCTACATTTGGTCCACAGTTTCCCCCCATTAAATCCTGAACACTTAAGCAGTGTTCCTCACTCTGAAAAGTTTGCCCATCTCTGGCATATCGTTTACCGAAGACAGATGACATTCGGTTTTTGCTTTCCTGCCAACTGTTCAGGAAATAGGACATTTATGCAACTGCATGAAATTTGAACCCCCTTTCAGGAACATTTCTGGGAAAGGATAAGCGTTAAGGGAACATCTGCTCGAGGTTTTGATGACCCAAACTCCGTCCTTGCTGAGCAGGCTTTTTTGGAGTGGAAAAGCAGATGGCTAGGAAGTTAACCCTCACATATTTCTCAGTTAAAATTCAGCGAAGGGTAAGCACCTTCCGAGCGGTGCGAGCACCTAATTAACATCGGAAATCGCTTTTTTCAAACAATCCGTTTTGAAATATTCAGAGTAATCTGCCTGTATTTTCTATTTCCCTGCTTCTTATTTTGTTTTAATTGTTTCTGAGCTTTAAAAAGATTTGTGCCAAGTTTCTTCTGAATCCTACCTCTTGATGGTAATTTCTATCCAAATATTGCTTTTGGGGTGCATCTTCTGTCCAGATCTATGCACTGGGGAGTTGTTAATACTGTATCTCTACATTTGTACTTTCTTTGTGTGAAAACACTGAAAAAGGCTGGTCACAGAAATAGAAAAGCTGCATTCTAGCAACCTCCATTATTTTTTTGCTTCGTTCAAGCTTCTATTTCTAGAATGTATCTGCAAACCTGGGACTGGTTTTGCCAAGAACTGCTTTTTTATCTCTACCTCCTGCTTGACTGCAGAGATTCAAGGATACTGCAGAACACAGGACGGGCTCAAATCTTAAAGGCCAACCATTCTGGGACGTTTGAGGAGAAAACAAAAACCCAAGTGAGCAACAACCTCATTGTTAAACAATTCCTGTGGGAAATGGGAGGTTCCAGAATTCAATACTGTAATAGGAGTATCTGTTTACTTTCTTTTTTTAAACTAACAGGGCTGTCACGTTCTTTTACAGGAAAGAGGAAGAAAAGAAACTTTGCATATCAGACTTTGATCTAATAATGCAATCTGGTCTTCAGCTTATCGATATTCCCTGCAAAATTCATCCTCCGCCTTGCCAGTTGCGATTGGTAACCCACTATCTGCTATTATAAAGCAGCAGACCAAATTTAAAGAGTTCCTTTAACTAAACCGGGGTGTCCAACTGGCTAAGGAATTCTGGGAGTTGAAGTCCCCAAGTCTTAAAGTTGCCAAGGCTGGACACCCCTGCTTCAATTCTGGGAGCTGAATTCCCCAAGTCTTAAAGCTGCCAAGGCCGAACGCTCCAGAATTAAATATTTGCTAGATGAACTGAAAGAGACTTAAAGATAAAATACGACATACCTTGTTTGGCATCATCACGAGCTGCTGTCCTTTGCAAATAGACCCAGATTCCAGCTTACCCAACACCACCGTGCCCATATCCTTCACGTGGGGGAGGGAGAGAATGAGAAAACAACCACCAGGTTAAGAGAATATGGTCAAAACAGGGTCTGATTCCCTTATCAAGTGTTAACTGTGTCATGTGACTGCCCCCCTAAAGCATTATACTTTCCAGGTTAAGTTGCGTACCTACTCCTACATTAGTGTCGGAATTGTACCTTTTATTTATCAACACAAATGTATCTAATATTTATGTAGTTGCGTACCTTATATTTATCAACAATTGGCAGCCTGATTGGTCCATCAACTGATCGGTTGAAGTTTGGCAAGTTATCCAGATATGGAATAAATGGTAGCCCGCTGAAGGAAGAAAAAAAAAAAAAAGAGGAATACAGGATCAAAATCTATAGTACGTTTTTGATTATGGACAAAATTTCTGTCCAAGATGCAACTAACATCTAAACAGAGCAAGGTTCTTTGTGAGATGTGGAGGTACTGGATGGGGCTGCAGGAGTTAAGTCATGCCTTTTTATCAGCAACTACGGAGAACGTGAAGAATTCAATGAACAGAGTGTTCTATGCTCAAATATCAAATGAACACCTTGATTCTCTTTGGGCAAACTGAAATGTGCCAATACTTCATAGCCAAGTTGTCTGCTTGTGTTAGATATGCTCTTGTGGGCCCCTGTCTGATCTTCAGAAACATGCACCGCAGTGAGAGGGTCCTTAACTTGGCAGCCTCTGGTGTCTGGGGCCCCAATCCCCATAATCCTCGGCCAAAACAGTAATTGCACAGAAAGATCACTTGGGAGCCACTTGCACTAGAGCAGGGGTGTCAAACTCGCAATGTCACATGACGTGTCGCAACTTTTTTTGCTGTTGTTGGTAATAGGGTGGGCGCGGTTTTGTTATGATGCATCCAGCCCGTGGGCTGGCAGTTTGACACCCCTGCACTAGAGGAATGTTTCTCTACCTTGGTACCTTTTAAGATGCGTGGACTTCCACTCCCAGAATTCCCCTGGCTCCAGTCGCCCTGTCTCCACCCCAAAGGGAGTGATACAAGGAATTACAGCAGGGGTCTTCAAACTTGGCAACTTTAAGAGCTGTGGACTTCAACTCCCAGAAGTCCTCAGCCAGCCCTTGAAGACCCCTGAATTACAGGGTCGTAGAAAGAAAGAAAAAAAATATGTGGCAAAATGAGATACCTACATATACCAAGGACAAAAGTCAGAGGGCTCCTTGAGATTCGCGCCAGTCAGTCCTGAGCAGGGCATGAAGTGAATGTCCTTTTTGGGGTTGAACCCCACTTTCTTCAAGAATGGCACCAGTTTTTCTTTACATTCTTCATACCTGAAAGATTGGCCACGGGGGAGAAAAAAAAATATGAGAGGCTGAGAAGAGCCATCAAACCACTTAGCCAGAGAGGCTGGCTAAGAACAGAATAAAACTAATAGCAGGACATTGAGTGAACGTAAAGACTGAATGTAAAAGTAATTCAGACATGCACAAGCTAAAAACATATTGATAAATGTAATAAGGATGTTTTTATTTCGTTGACATAATAAGAACTGCATTGGCTTAAATATGAGATAGTAGATATTAAGGGAAAAAGAGAGGAAATATTGGAGGTTGTAGTTTGAGATTCGTATCAAAACATTTTGCATAGTACTGAACTATTGATTAACCCAGCCACCAGGTTGCTTTTTAAATACCTAAATGTAAAATTTGAAAATTAATAAAAATTTTACACACACACACACACACACATAGGTCTTTGGTTATTCGGGTTTTCTCCCGCGTCAAATTGGAAGTATCTTGGCGACATTTCGACGAAGTCTCATTCGTCATCTTCAGGCTGGTGCTTTCGGCTTCGTGCTTCTAGGAGCACGAAGCCGATAAAAAGAATATTCGGTGGTCCAGCGTTGTCAGTCTCCCATCACCATCCCCACCATCATGCATGTTCCACCTCAAAATAGAGCCACACATACGTGCTTTCATTAGGGTAATTACACCTGATCTTTGGACTTTCTCCATCCAAAGTGTATGAGCCTGGCTCCATTTCTGGAAATTATCAGCCAAATACTCGCTACTCTTTAACGTGCAATTTTGGCACAAAGCAGAACTGAACTCAAGTACTTGCCTTTCGTTACTCCAGTTCACAGTTGGGTCGTCCATTTTGTTAATGAGAACTATTAAGTGTTTTACACCCGCCGTTTTTGCTAGCATGGCGTGCTCTCTTGTCTGCCCTCCTTTCTCGAAACCTGTTTCAAATTCCCCTTTTCTCGCAGAGATTACCTGATTGAAAGAATAAATCTAATTAAAGCTTTGGACGTTCGGGCTACAATGCAATCTGGTTTGCCTCTGGGTAGTAAGATGATTACCAGACAGCTCTCAAACTAAAGGCTTGGCTTTAAGGTTTTATGCTGAGAATTACGACAAGCCCACGGGGTGTCTACCTGAGCAATTTTTATCACCAGTTTCACAATATCAATCTCCTGAACAGGTGAGCTAAAAAGGTGTAACCAAGCAGGTTACTATATATACAGTAGCTACAAGAACTGCACGGGTCCTTTATAGACTGCTAAAGCACAATAATTAAATAGCCATTTCTATAATTAATGGACTTAACAGCAAAAATAAACTACACAATGACAATACAATAAAAAACAACAACAAAATGAAAAGGGCAAAAGCCTACAGAACCAGTCCCGAGGAAAAATATTAATATATAGGCAAACTCAACCTTTCCCTTGTTAATAACTTGAGACCATGCTGAAAAACACTGCTTCATTTTCTTATTTCTCCAGTAGAAGAACATTTCAAAGATTGATAGAGAATCTAATACATATTTTTATTGTATTTTTTAATCTGCTTTACTGTTAATGTTTCAGCGCCAGCTTACCAGCTACTGGGCAATTTTAAAATAAAGAACATAACTATATAAAAAAAGCTAGATGGATTAAAACAGTTCTCCAACTGATCCATAAACAAGAAAGGCTCTTACCAATACAGCTAAATCAGCTTGAGAAGCACCACCTATCATATTTGGAACAAAGCTCTTATGCCCTGGAGCATCTAAAATTGTGAAGTGTTTCTTTTCTGTTTCAAAATACGCACGGCCTACTTCCACCGTTTTCCCCTTGTCCCGCTCTTCCTGGTTTGTGTCTAAGGCCCAAGAGAGATACCTATTAAAAAATAATAATAAGGGAAATATGTGATATAAAATTGATTAATTACACTCGTTCCTGGGAGAATTTATGATAGGTTCTATCCTAAAACTTTATTCAAACATTCTCAGCCTTCCCAACAGCTACGCGAAATGCTTCTATACCAAGGGTGTCCAACCCCCCCCCCCACTTACTGGTGGGGGAATTCTGGGAGTTGAAGTCCACACGGCTTAAAAGTTGCCAAGACTAGACAGCCCTATTCTATGCAGTTGTGGGTTTTATTTTGGGCTCTGGCATGTGTCTCAGGAAATGGGATGTGCAAGAGATTATCTGCAGGCAGGGGAGTAAAACAAGTCAAGATGGGGGTCACAACCATGTGATTGAAGCCACACCCCTGTGTACATCTGTTGCGAATGGCGAATACAGGTCTAAATTTGCAATTGATATATGTGGGTTGGTACTCCGTTCTTCTAGATCAGGGGTTCTCAACCTTGGCAACTTTAATACTTGTGGAAAGTTGCCAAGGTTGAGAACCCCTGTTCTAGATTGTTATCAATTTCTCAGTCCAGATTACAGGTTTGAAGTCTCTTCTCTCTTCCAAGGGACAACCAGATTTCCTTTCCTAGGGAAAAATCTACTCTGTGTGGTGTGTTCTCTCAGGACAACTTAGATTCCACTGAGGTATAAGACTCTGTCTACCCTTTATTGGGTTTTTGCCAACTTACTGCTTCTTCCTGATTGCAAAAATACTTTCTTAGCTGCTAATTGCTCAGAACTTGGCAGAAGAGCTAATTTTCCTCTGGAAAATGAACCCAGACAATTACAAATCAAATTTATAATGAACTGCGCAAGAACCTAAATTAAAATTGTGATGATATTATACCAACACTGGGAATTCCTCAAGCAGGCAAGGGGGATGTTTGGGATTACAGCTTTTAATTGGCATTACATCCATTCCTTGCGCAGACAATGCTCAAGTTCAGTGTTTCTCAACCTTAAGAGGTGTGGACGTCAGCTCCCAGAATTCTCCCAGACTATGCTGTGCACCCATGCAGCCCATTCACCCCGCTCTCTTTTTTCCAGCTAGCTCCATGATGAAACAACCTAGAAATTGTGTTAACCCTGTTGCATTTATTTATAGAACTGGAAGCCTAATTTTATCTTAATGCACAATTTCTCGTGTCTTCTGGAGCGAGCAAGCCAGGATCCGGTTCAAACACTCAGGGATTCTGAAAGCTAGTTCAAGCACATCTGGAGGACACGAGGCAAGGAGAGGCTATCATCATTTAACGGGGGTTAAATTTTAAAATGTAGGCTTCGTACCAGGTTTCTCTGTTTTTTTCTTTAGCTTCTCTTTCATATTTCTCAAGCGTTCTTTTATCAACCATGCCGGTCAAATACCTGAAAACAATTCGGTACGTGAGACATGAAGAAGGAGCACATGAAGTAGAAAGCAGTTTTAAAAGAGTTGCAGTTTTGTTTTAGAAAAAGAGTAAGAATAGGTTTCCTTAACTTATGACCAGTCCCCTTAGTGACGGTCTGAAGTTACGATGGACCTCGCCCCAAAAGGCACTTACAGCCCAGTTCCAACATTCCAATACCCCCCCGAAATCACATGACCAAATTTTGAGTCCTCGGCAACGTGTCCCCTGGTCACGTAACCACAATTTTAAAAAGGTCTGCTTTACGACTGCAATGCTTGTTTTACGACTGTAGCGTTTGCTATACAACCATGGGTGTTTGCTTAATGGCTACCACAAAAAGGTTGTAAAATCAGACCTGACAGGTGCCCCATTTTACAACCATCAACACTTATGACTATAAATTTGTAAGTTGAATTCTACTTATGGAATGAAATGGCTTGAACAGAAACCGAACCCTATTTGGGCAGTCTATGGTTTCAAGAATGCACAGCTGCAGATAAAATAAAGTGTTCAAAACTTTCCCTCCGACGAATTAGGAAGATCAAGAGGTGGCCCGTTACGAAGTGGAGAGAACAGCAGCAATGCCGACCAACGTTTTAACAAGCTCTCACAAAAATGGAAAGTTATTTTGTAATAAAAGCATGTCAGATTATCAGCTGCAGTATTCTTTGATTATAATTATACCTTTTGATTCAGACCAAAAGGCCAGCTAAAAGGGAGCTTAAGATGACTGAATCAAGTATTTGGGGGGAAAAATTACTTACATTATTTGCCCTCCAATTGTTGATTTTCCAGCGTCTAAAAAAATAAAAAGGTAGACAAAAGATATTTAAAACTAGCTCTTCGTGAGCAGCTAAGCTATTTAATTCCTTTTTGTAAAGGACTCAATTGTCCCATCAGCATATGCCTTTGTCCTATATAATCGCACAGAACTAATAATTTAGGATGGATTTTTTTTTTCCTCTGAAGAAGCATCCTGTTCAGATTATATACCTGGGAAATTTCTGATGTAGTGCTAGTTGTATTACAATTGATATGTAAACCATTTTCTATCTGTCAATATGGTCTACCCATTCATGCCAGGTCTAGCAGTTAAAAACAAGTTGATGGCACGTAATCAATCAAACAAACCATTTTTTTCAGGGACCTTTTTCTTTGAAATTTTAACTATGAAAAGCAAGCCTATTCTATTCAACTACAGGCACGGCACCTCTGGCTCAACAGATGTTTCTGAGCTAGAATTCCCTGCAACCTCAGCCAGCAAGAGGGATGCTGGGAAATGGCATTTCAACATCTGAAGAAGAACAGGGGGCCCATCCTTGACTGTGTTCTTTTAATACACTTAGAGATGCGAAGGATCGGGACCATCCGTTAGGTTGCGGTTCAAAGCTTGACTGCTCAAGCCTAGGCACAAAAATCTAGACAACTAAAGTTCAATACGAAATTGGTGCCAGAGAAGGGTCAACAGAATTCAAGATGGCTTAGACTTGAGCCGTTTATGGCAATATAACTACTCTAAACTGATGACATGCTTCACGCCGCCCTCAGCCCTGCCTGCTCTTCTCCCACAGTGGATCAAATCAGGGAGGCAAGTCCATGGAGGACCCTTCGCTGTCTGAATATTGCCTTCAAAGTCACTTCTCGGGCTCTCTAGCGCAGCTTACCTACGTGTCCAATGAACACCACGTTCACGTGTTCCTTCTTCGGAGCGCCAGGGGGCGCTACCATGGATTTGGGTTTTGGCATCTCCTCCTCTTCCTCCATCATTTCCTGGGTACTCTCTTCGATGGGCCCTGCGTCGCCAGAAGGGCCACTTGCTAATTCGGGTTCAATGGTTTCTTCTTTGTGGTCCCACGATTCCTCAGGGGACGCCGCCGTTTCTCCATTTTCTACTAGGATGGAATAAAGAATAAAGGAGAAACATCCTAACAGTCAGGACAATTAACCAGTGGAACAGCTGGAGACTAGAGTCTCGCTCATCTGAAATGGTATAGGTCAGTGGTTCTCAACCTTTTTAATGCCGTGACCCCCCAACCGGTCGTAAGTCGAGGACTACTCAACCGGTCGTAAGTCGAGGACTACTCAACTGGTGCAGCACCGTTTGCAGAATGGGACTTTTGGCGGGCTCAGCAGGGCAGAGACAGCCTGGACAATTCCTATTGGCTTTTGAAAGCCAATAGAATTAGACTCTATTCAAGAGTCTATTCTATTGGCTTTCAAAAGCCAATAGAATAAAAGGGAGTAGCACAGCTAAGGAAAAGGGGGGGGAATGGTGGACTGCGTTGTTTGGCGACCCCCGTGAAATGGTCGTTCGACCCCAAATGGGGTCCCGACCCACAGGTTGAGAACCACTGGGATAGGTTCTCCTGCTTGAGCAGGGAGCTGGACTAGATGACCTCCAAGGTCTCTTCCAGCTCTGTTCTAAATGTAAAACGCAAATAGTTACTTGAAGGAGAGGAACGTTTTTCAGTGGCTTTCCTGGGAAGGAGAGGAGAAGGCTTAGCAAGACTACTACAGAGGGGTTGCCTGTTTTAAGTTCCAGTTTTCATTTATTTTCCTCTGTCCCACTGGCTGAGTGTTGAGGTGCACGCACATTTAAAATTTCATTTTCGCAGCCCCCACTTGGAGGCTGATTGTAAGTAAATAAAGTCAAGCAAGCTACTATTCATGAGATTTGGCTATTTTAACACAGAAGCCCTTTTCTCAACTACAGGGGTAGGAATGCTGAAAACAACCTCCAGACCATAATGTTTTAGTAAACAGTATGCTGGAATTCACTAAAGGAGCTGTTTATGACAGCTACTGAACGCTAGTCGTCTTTCCTTTCTCGTTCTCTGTTTATTTTCCTATGGAAACCGAAAGTACGGGTTGTATCCATTTAGGAATTAAAAGCAAGCTACCAGCCCAATCTTTCCTGATGGGGATAGTTGACAGTTTCCATAATGCTTAGCTGTAAGGACACCAAGGCTGGAAAAGGCTGACAAGGGGAGGGTTAGCTGCCATTCTGTGATTTGGAATAGCTTTATTAAACAAGTGTAAATGCAAGCCCTGGATCTCACTGAGGGGGTGTCCTGATGTCAGCATTGCTTTCTCCATATGGCTCCTGAAATTACTGATCTTCTCTTCTGCCTCTGCTGTGGACGTGTGCACAAATACTCACACACACCCCAAGCACTACTTCTCAAGAATGGGAAAAGTGGCTGTTGCTGGTATTACTAAAATGAACCTTTGCACATCTACTGCAGAGCCTCTGGGACCCACCACTAGCCAGGGAACAACATACCATTCTACAAGAACTGCAAATGGAATCATCTCTCAGCACCTAGCTTTTCAAATTGGCCTAGCAGTTCCACACACCAGAGAGAATCATAATAAGAGACCAATTGGGAAGAACATCCAGGTTGCAAGGCAAAAGGGGGGGGGAGTCAGTTTAAGCTATGCTATGTGGTTTCTTACCAACTGGTTCGGAGATTTCCATACCAATGGCAACGTTTGACCCTAGAAAAATAGAAAGAAGTAGGTTAAAGAGGTAGCATTGGCTCAATCGTCCCAGTTCATATTCTTTTTGAGCACCAGACTAATTGTTATTTGTTCATTGCACAGTCAGGTTAGATGCAGACTGGATTTGGCATTTCTGTCCACCTCGCGAGTCCTTCCCAAGCACCTAGGATAGACAAATGTGGATGGCGGATGCTGTTACAGTTATAGGTTGCAGGATGTAAGCTGTTTCAAGCAAAGCTGCCTTTTGCAATTGACTAATGGTGATCTTGTCAATGCCAGTGGTGTTCAAGGGATGCTCCAATTGTTTTGGGATTGCACCCAAGGTTCCTATTACTATTGGTGCTATTATTATTATTATTAAATTTATATGCTGCCCATCTCACTGTCAAGCAACTCTGGGTGGCTTACAACGTGACAAAAACAACAATATAAAACATCGAACTAATAAAAATGAGCTAAGATAGGAACCAGTACACAACAGCGTGGGGTGGGAGAGGGTCTTCTTTTTAATCCACTCACCACCCCCAGCATGAAATGCCTCCAGTGGGGCCCCAAGCCAGGTAGCAGAGCCAGGTTTTGAGGCCCTGTCAGAAGGCCAAGAGGGTGGGGGCAGATCTCACCTAGAGGGCTATGATGTTCTCGATTACTTCTGATTGTGTAAAGGCTTCACAAATATGTTTCCTAATCCCAACAGCTCAGCTTTACGTTTGTCTCACATACACACAAAAAAAGAAAATGTATTACCTTCACAAGACGGCAGGTGTTCGTGTGATGATTCTGCCGACGCCCCTTCAAAAAAAACATATCAACACTGAAATAAATATTTGGCGTAACTCCAGGGAAAATTCAAGAACAAAACTGTTGTTGTTTTTTTTGGATGATTGGAGACCCCTTGTCCCATTCTGGACAAATGGCTATCCAGTCTCATCCCCTGCCTTTGTGTCAACTCAGTGGTGTCCAACCTTGGCAATGTTGAAGACTTGTGGGCTTCAACTCCCAGAATCCCCCAGTCAGCATACTTCCTTCAAAATACTCTAGAACAGACATGTCAAACGCAAGATGTCACATGATGTCGCGCGACGTATTGGGACTGTTTTGCCATTGCCGGGAATGGGATGGGTGCAGCTTCCGCGTGATGTGTCCGGCCCGTGGGCCGGCAGTTTCACACCCCTGCTCTAGAATGTTGTTTCCTTTCCAAAATAAGACATGTTTCAACAATGCTACTCTTCCATTTTCCAGGAGGACTGTTATACAAAGCTGTCAGGGCTGAACAAACCCAACTCAAAATCTTTGCACCTGAAAAGCTATTGAGATCCATGGATATTCACAAAATCTGGATCCAGAGCACTCACCACCTCCAGCTTCCGGTTAAAGAAAAAAAAAATTCAGCACAGTTCTTAAAAGATTAACCATCCTTTCAGGAACACCCAATCCCGACAAGTAGTGTTTTCAGAGAATCAACTCTTGAAAACTATCAAGACAGGGAAATTGTGACCTCATATACTTTTGGAAGAGCAGAATACAAGTTGCACCAACTCTGATGCAGGAAATGTGACGTATTAAGCTGCCATGCTCTTAAAAGAATTCTGCGTAGCTCTGTTGAAGCATCAATGTGTACTTTGTTTGTGACTATTGCACAACCTGGCTGCGATAAATACTTAAATCTGCAGGATTTTTCCATTCTCTTTGCAAAGGAAAAATTTTTTGTGCAAACACTGGACGGTGTTTTACCAAACTTGTAAAAAAGCGTTTGCTTGCTCCGTATAAGATAGCTTGAGTTGGAAGCTCTTGAAGCTTTTCCTCCATTTTCAGACCATCCAAGGACCATATTACCATTTGTTTTCAGAATTTAATTAGTGAGCACATATATTCTATATAAATAAATACAGTTACAGTGGACTCTCGGGGAGATCCAGATTCCAAACACCAAGATGATGCTCAATGGGTCACAAGCCATGTCTTAGCCTAAGCCAAGGGTCTTCAAACTTGGCCCTTTCATGACTTGTGGACTTCAACTCCCAGAATTCCTCAGCCAGCGTGCCTGGCTGGCTGAGGAATTCTGGGAGTTGGTGTCCAGACCTCTGGCCTAAGCCATCTCACAAGCTTGTGAGCATAACACAAATTGATCTAAGCACATTAGCCTCAGCGTTTATATCAATGCAACAACAACACATGAAAACCAACAATTTTACCATGGAAATATAAGCCCCAACTGAGGAATACTTGTCAGAATTGTTCCATTAAAACATGGAACCTGGGAATTTGGATCAAACTGCTGAGCAATATTGTTTCAGATATTAATTTGAAGCAGGGCCAAGGATATCACTTAGGTGTTGCTTGTTAAAGTTGTGAAACCTGTTATTAGTAGAACGCAAGTGAGAATTTGATGTTCCGGTCCAAATGGAAGATCTTTGCTTTTCCTGGAGAAGGAAAGTCCTGGTTATTTTTTGATGGTTGCAGGTTGGTCAGGTTTTTTTAAAAAGCAATTCTAATTTTTTTTTTTTTTAAAAAAGAGCAAGTTATTCTTTCTCAGCCCTAAGAAAAACCCTTCTAAAATTGCTGCCAACAAAACTGCAGGAATTTATCTATGTAATTAAGACTGACTTGAAGGCACCAAAAAAAAAAAAAAAAAGCAAAGAAAAAAGAAAGAAAAAAATAGGAAAAACACAAACTGCAAATCTTTTGAACAGGTTAGAGAAGGTTTGGGAAAAAAGCATGTAATGAGAGCCTGGGCTGAAATAAGTTTTCTAAAGTCAAGATTCCCAAACATGCCGGTTTGGCTTTAATGGTTAAGGCACCAGGCTAGAAAGCAGGAGACGGTGAGTTCAAGTCCCGCCTTAACCATGAAAGCCAATTGGGTGACTTGTTCTTAGGAGATAAATGCCGTAGGAGGAGGAAGGTGCTATTGTAACTTTGAATGGTCACTAAACAAATGGTTGTAAGTTAAGGACTACCTGTAGTTGCCATCCTCAAAGAGATTCTGTGACCGCTGGTAACCTCTATTTATGTCGGCATAGGCAGTTTTCATTAAGAGCCTGAAAATATATAACCTCCTGCTAGCAGCTGGCTGCATAGAGAGATCCTCTCCTAATTTTAGGAACCATCGCTTCATAGTTCTGCAAAAGTTACATTATTCCCTAGCAATCTCTCCTACCTGTGCCTTTTTCTTGGAAAGCAGAAGTCAGTCAGAGCAGATTACTCTGGGCTAGCTTATCAACTATTGCCACCATTCTGCAGACTGAAGCAAGCAGCACCAAAGAAACACACACACAAAGAAATGTGAGCTAAGCAGAAAAACAGGAATCATCTTCTCTGTCATGATTGAATCAAGTCCAAGGTAAAGCTAAGCACTTAATGAAGTCCAATTAGAGTCACTGTACTTTCTTTATAGGAGGAGAGACATGTTATTATGGTATCTGTGTGGGGGGAAATTGGGAATCTGTTAGCACTTTTTCCAAATTTTACTAAAAGGCACAAGCTTTCATGAGCTACGTTTCCTGCCTCTAGTCAATTAGCGAGCTGCCGCTCACAAAAGCTTCTGCTTTTAATAAAATTCGTTAGCTGGAAGAACTGCTAGCAGACCCTTGTTGTTGTTTTTTCCCCTTTATTTTATTTTTGCGCTTTCTTTGGTGCAAAATCACTTTTGTAATCTTCAGATGCTTATCTGCATACAAAACAGGTCACAATCGGGTCAGCAACTTACTGACCCTGAATAGGGGAGAAATGCTTATTTAGATAGGAAAGCAGAAAATACAAATGTTCTGACTTGGAATGAATTTCTGGCTGCTGGAGGCTCTGTTCCCATCAAGGTTCATTAAAGATGAAAAAGAGGGAGGGGAAATCCCCATCCTCTCTATTCTGCAACCTGTGGGGCACCCAGTCCCAATCTGTTTAAGGGCTGAGCGTGGGCTTCTGCACCCTTATCGGAGGTACAGCCTGTGTTTCTGAACACCGGTTGATAACATGCCTTCCGCCTGCCATTGGGAGTAATGTGATGGTCAGCAACTCAACCAGTATCTTAGGTTCAACACGGAGTAAAAGAGACGCCAGGCCTGCTGCTATCCTGAAATTGCAGCAATTACCCTGATTGCTCTTTAGAAGGCCAGATCCTGAAGTTGAAACTCAAGTACTTTGGCCACCTAATGAGAAGGAAGGACTCACTGGAGAAAAGCCTGATGCTGGGAAAGATGGAGGGCAAGAGAAGAAGGGGACGACAGAGAAAGAGGTGGCTGGATGGAGTCCCTGAAGCAGGAGGCGTGAGCTTCAACGGACTCCAGAAGATGGTAGAGGACAGGAAGGCCTGGAGGAACGTTGTCCATGGGGTCACGATGGGTCGGACACAACTTCGCAATTAACAACACTTGCAAATTCTGCAACGCACACCAGAAGGCATCTAACTTTCCTTGGACACCTTTCGACAGAATAACAAGAGTTGGAAGGCACCTTGGAGGTCATCTAGTCCAACCCCCTGCTCAAGTGGGAGACCCTGTACAATTCCAGACAAGTGGCTGTCCAGTCTCTTCTTGAAAACCTCCAGTTGTGGAGCGCTCACTCACTATTTTCCAAGGCACCTGAAGGCAGGACAAGATAAATCATGTGTTAGTTTCTTTTCGTCCTGTTTTGCTAACTGGATGAAGGCAAGTGGTTCCACTGGTTAATTGTTCCCACTGTCAGGAAGTTTCTCCTTAGTTCTAGGTTGCTTCTCTCCTTGATTAGTTTCCATCCGTTGCTTCTTGTCCTTCAAGTGCTTTGGAAAATAGTTTGACACCCTCGTCTTTGTAGCAGCCTTTCAAATATTGGAACACTGTTATGTCACCCCTCATCCTTGTTCTTCATATAGTTTAGCCTCTAGCCCCCAAGCATCTTTGTTGCTCTGTTATGCACCCTTTTCAGAGTCTCCATTGCTTTTCTGCTCCCAGTTAGCAAAACTGGATGAAAAGAAACCAACACAGGATTTATCTGCATCCTTAAGCTTCATTCTAGATTTTATTTCAGCCTTGAGCATCACGGCCATGGGTATGACTGTATCAAACGTCTGTTTACTATCCTCTTTTCTGAAATCCCAATAAGAGAAAACTGAATTCCGCAATCACCTCTTCACAAAGCCAGTTTTGCTGAAACATTGGAAACCTGAAGGTTTTCTAAAATCTGAAGATTCTAGAATATTAGAAATGTGAATTGTAAAGGTCTTAGGGCTCTTTTATCATTTTTTCTTTCTCCTCCTCCTCCTTTTAAAACACTTTTACTTTTTGTCGCCCTGAGGCTTGCTGGCCTACAGGTAACTGAACCAGCCTATAGTCCTGAAAAAACAGCCCACCTCTTTTTATTTCTTATCTCAAAGATCCAAGTTTTACACCAAGAGGGAGTAAGTAACCTTGTGGAAAAAGTCAAGAAAAATCACCACCAACTAACAGCCTATTTGAAAAGTGGCTTGAGAATGAAGCTCTGAGCGGTTTCACAGCAACCGCTGGACTACCAGGAAATAATTTTTCCCTCTTTCTCTGCTGCCAAAAAAAAAGGTGACGTCTCTCCACTGATCAAGATTGCATCAAAGGCCATTTCTTGAGTCATTTCTTGGCTCAGCCTCCCCATAGACGGCTGAATGCTCTACCACAAGCAGGGAAACCTGTCTTGCAGAATCACCCGGAGGCTCTCCTATCCCACCTGCTGAAGACTGAACTCTGAAAATATCCCTCTAAAAGTCCTCAAGAAGGTTGCCTTGATGACCAGGGGAAGGGCTTCTCCATCACTGTTCAGACGCTCCTGGGATGGCTAGGATGATTGCTCTGCTTTTTTATCCCTGCCCTCCTCCTCTTTCAACAAGGGGGGCAAAACACTAAGAACCAGGGCGAGCTGTGCGCTCCCTCAGGGAGTTTCGTTGTGCAACCCCAATCATGCCACCTTGGCAGATGCCCAGAAAATATGGGTCAAGCGATCATGCAAGCATCAAGCTGTCTAATTCTCAGAAGGAAAGGGAGCAGAAGGCCAGCCTCTCCCAGTCAGGATGTCCTCAGGCCAACTGACTCTTCTTCTTGGGTTTAGACCAGGGGTGCCCAACCGTGGCAACTTAAAAGACTGGTGGACTTCAACTCCCAGAATTGAACTGGGTGTGTGTGTGTTCAACCTTGGCAACTTTAAGACTGGCACACCGAGCTAGGGAATTCTGCGAGTTGAAGTCCACCGGTCTTAAAAGTTGCCAAGGTTGGACACCCCTGGTTTAGACACTGACCTACCTTGCAGGGCTGTTTGTGGACATCTTCAGGGCACAATCCTTTCTCTACTGAGCCCCGTTTTGGGAGAAACTCCATACTGCTGGTAACCAACCATAGTAGTAAAGTTGGAAGGGACCTTGGAGGTCATCTAGTCCAACCCCCTGCTCGGGCAGGAAACCCTACACCATTTCGGACAAGTGGCTGTCCAGTCTCTTCTTAAAAACTTCCAGTGTTGGAGCATTCACTGCTTCTGGAGGCAGGCTGTTCCACTGATTCATTGTTCTCACTGTCAGGAAGTTTCTCCTTAGTTCTAGGTTGCTTCTCTCCTTGATTAGTTTCCACCCATTGCTTTTAGAGGCAACCAACCCTCCCCGGGTCGACTCCCATATATTAAGGGTGTGTATGTGTATGGCAGCACCCCATTGGAAAGAATGGGGGGCAAAGGTGCCCTTGGGGTGGGCAAGGGCAGCTTTGCATCCCTTCTCAGCCATGGGGGTTCCTTGGGGGGGGTTATCTGACTCTGGGCGACCTTCCTCACAAGGTTATTTTGTCTGTGTTGGGGGGGTTAAAAGAGACTGAAGGGACCTCCAAGAACTGCCTAACCCCCCTCCCAAGGCATAGGGCAATAATGGGGGTGTCTTACTCAGCCGCACTTGGGCGCGCTTTAGAAAGGGCCCCCGCCACAAGGCCCGTCCCGTGTCGGGCCGTTCCGCGGGCTCACCGTGTGTCAACGACGGGGGCGGCGGCGGCGGCGGCAGGCCCGGCGGGGGCGAGGGAGGCGGGGGCGGCGGCGCGGGCTGCCCCGGGCCGCCCCTCAGGAAGGCCGGCACGAACTCTGCGGCGTGGACGTTGGGCACGAAGGGCTTGGCGTTGACGTTGAGGTGCCGGCTGAAGGCCGCGCCCAGGAGCTGCTCTTCCTCGCCCTCCAGCTGGGCCGAACCGGGCGCCGCCGCCGCCGCCACTGCGGCTTCTTCTTCCTCCTCCTCCTCCTCCACGGCGGCGGCGGCGGCGGCGCTCCCGTTGCCCGGCTCCAGGTCCGCCTGGTCCCAGCAATCGGGCGCCGAGTCGCTGCTGCTCCCGCTGCCGTTCGCCTCCATTTTGTGCGCGCGCCCGCCGGGCCCCTCACGAGCCTCTCTGCGGCCGAAGCGCCTCCCCGGCGCGGAAGGGAGGGAGGGAAGGCCCCGAGCGGCGGCGACGGACCGACGGACGGCGGAAGGCGGCGGCGGAGGCAGCGACCCAGTCCTCGCTCCGGCCACGCTCCGCGTGTGCCCCTCCGCCCCGACGCAGTATGGCCTCCCTCAGCTGCCGTACGCCTCGCCTTCCGTCCCCCCTGCGCGTGCGCGGGCGCCGCCTAGACGCTCGGTAGTCCTGCGTCGGCGCGTAGGCCCTTGCGACCTATGGGCGCCGCCGGGACTGATGACTACAACTCCCGAAAGGCTGCGCGCGCCGCAGCGGGACTAAGTGGCCGGGCCGCACGGGAAGCACAACTCACTGCTCTCTTTCCGCTCCCTCCCCTCCCTTTGCGCCGGCGTGGGATTCTTCCGAGTCTCGGCAAAAAAAAAAAAAAAAAAATCCCCAGCAGCCCTCGCGTGGTTCTTGCCTTGCGCACGCGCTCTTTTGTTTCTCCCTTCTTCCCTCTCCGGAAGAAAGAGAATCAATGGGAATTTTTCTGATTTCATTTGCAAAGGAGGTGTTATTATTGCAAGGAAGTGTGGGAGTTGAGCGGTCATGGATGTATTTCGTGGAAACGTGGCTTGCGCTGGAAAAGGGGGAGTTGATTGAGACTTGTCGCCAAGGAAGGAGAATAAAATGTTTTCCAAGGATGTGAAGTGGTTGCACTTACGTTTTTAGATTAATTTCTCACTCGCCTTTCCTTGAACAAGTCTTTCGCTTCATGTAATCCTTACAGCAGCCCTGTGAGGTAGGTTAGGCTGAATGATAGTGGCTGTGTTTGCTGGACTTGCTAATTCAATGTTCAATGAACTTCAGTTTACTTAAGCACATTCATAGTTTACTTATACCAGTCCCGAATATGGTGTTGAGTAAACTATGGTTCATTGAACACATCAACGTGCTTTAAGAACTGACTGAATCATGGTTCACTGAGCGCTTATAAAATAAAAAGCAATGTGCCACAGTTTACAAGTCACAATGGCAGGGATTTAGGCATCGTGCTCAGTCAAAACCAAATGAACTGTGTTTTGATACGGTGATAATAATAAAGTTGGAAGGGACCTCGGAGGTCATCTAGTCCAACCCCCTGCCCAGACCATTTCAGATAAATGGCTGTCCAGTCTCTTCTTAAAAACTTCCATTGTTGGAGCATTCACCGCTTCTGGAGGCAGGTTGTTCCACTGGTTAATTGTGCTAACTGTCAGGAAGTTTCTCCTTAGTTCTTGTTTAGTGACCACAATCAGCACTAGCAACTCAGTAATTCAGCAAAGTGGTAGCTAAGCAAAACTACTATGCTTGTGATCTGGCTTTGCTTCATAAACCTGTGAAGGTCGTAAAAGTGAGGATTAGTGCAAAGTTACTTTTTGATCACCCTCGTAACTAGGAACGGTCCTATACGAGGCAGTCACTAAATGAGGACTACCTGCATCAGTTGTTATTAGAAGAAAATATTTGAGCTAAAATCCATTTGGAAGCTACTGCTACTTTTCCATCTAATGCAGACATGTCAAACACAAGGCCCGTGGACCGGATGCGGCCGGCGAAGCCATCCTGGAAACAGTGAGGGAACAGCCTCCTCTGCCTTGGCCCTGGCCCAGGCCAGCCGGGAGCCAATGTACAATTTTGTGGTGGCCATCTTGGCGCTTGCCCCGGTCCCACCCCCTTTTGCCAGAGACCCTCTGATCTATCCCACTTCTGCCCAGGCCCCCACAGGCACCCTTGACGCGAATGAAATTGAGTTTGACACCCCTGATCTAATGTATCCAGGTGTTTTTTTTTCTACTGCCAATGGCATGTCACAAACCGGGAAACCGTTTTGCCTAACTATCACTGGATGTCACTCTTGAGTCATACAATTTTCAAAGTTTCCAGCTCTGAGCTGCAGAAACCTCTTGGGTGAGAAGCAGAATGTCTTCAAAGTTGCCTCTTGAAAAAAGCCCCTTTGGGACAACCATGACCTGGATGACTGAGAATCTCCATAGACAGTTCTTCTATTTTTCTTACACTCAAATAATCTAATGCGCCAAGAAGGATAACCCCCCCCATCTACAGCCATATTTATCAACATTTCAGCCGCGCAGTGAAGAAAGGGAATGAAAACGTGGCACTTTGCCTGCTTTAATTTTTATTTCTTTTTCCTTTTCATTTAGGGATGAAACCTACAGGCCATCCATGTTGCCTAACCCTTTTTTTTCCCAACACCCCCCAGACGAGGAAGCACTCCCCATTCGATCCCCCTCCTCCCTCTGGCTGGTGACTCGGGATAATGGAACCTGTGTTCCCAAGGACGAACCTGGCTGCTTCTCCCAACTGGCTTGGTGACTGGGATGGCTGTCACGATGGCTATAAAAACGTGAAGAGGGCAAGAAGGAAGGGAAGAATTTTTCATCCAGGGGCTGGACTAGAAGACCTCCAAGGCCCCTTTCCAAATCTGTTATCTCAGGGGGTCTTCCAACTTAGTCCTTTGATGACTTGTGGACTTCAACTCCCAGAATTCCTCAGCCAGGCATGCTGGCTGAGGAATTCTGGGAGTTGAAGTCCACAAGCAGGGGTCTTCCCTCTTGGCCCTTTGATGACTTGTGGACTTCAACTCCCAGAATTCCTCAGCCAGGCATGCTGGCTGAGGAATTCTGGGAGCTGAAGTCCACAAGCAGGGGTCTTCCCACTTGGCCCTTTGATGACTTGTGGACTTCAACTCCCAGAATTCCTCAGCCAGGCACACGCGTGCCTGGCTGAGGAATTCTGGGACTTGAAGTCCACAAGTCATCAAAGGGCCAAGTGGGAAGACCCCTGGATTATCCTCTTATTCATCCTTCCCGGATGAATTGGGTGGGGGGCTCCTATACCTTCCCCACCGCCATCAAGGAAGGCGGGGCACCCAAGCCACGATCCATCCTCCGCCACCCACTCTTTGCAGGACGCTTCCGGGTTCCGCGTGTTTTGCTTCCGGGGTGGAGGGTCACTTCCGGTGGCGGCGGCGGCGGCTGCCGCCCTGCTCTCGGAGTCCGGGCGGTGGGGGGGGGGCGAGTCGCTCCAGCTTCGCGGGCACCATGAGCGGTGAGTGGGGCTGCCGAGGACGGGGGGGGGAGGGAAGAGGAGGAGGCGCTCTGCACATGCCCAGGGGCGCCCTTGCCGGTGGTTAGCCCTCCCTCCCCTCTGCGCTCGGGGCTTCCCCTGATCCTTTAGAAGTCCCTCGAAAGCTCCCGGCACTTGGCGTATGCTCAGAGGTACGCTGCCCCTCGCTTTTGTTTCTTGCTTTGGTCGCCCTTCCTGGCTTGGCTTGGCTTTCCTACGGGCAGGGCGCTCTGCACTCTCTCAGAGGCACTTTTCCTGCTTTGGGAATGACAGGCACTGTTGTTTTTCTGGGGGGGGGGCGGGGCCGGCAGGAAGCGCTCTGTACCCGCTCAGAGGCTCTCTGCCCATTTTTTTATGAAGAGATTTGTTGAGGCTCTGGGCACTCTGTACCCGCTCAGAGGAGTTCTGCTCGTTTTTCTTAGGTGGTTGAGGTTGTGGGCACGCTTTGCCTGCTTGAGAGGCATTCTGCCCATTTTCTGAAGGGGTTGAGGAGGTTTTCCGTCACTCTGTACCCGCTCAGAGGGTCTCTGCCCATTTTATTCAGGAGTTGATGAGGCTATGGGCACTCTGTGCCGGCTCAGAGGCTTTGCCAGTTTTCTTAAGGGCTTGAGGAGACTCTCTAGGGACCCTTTGTAGAGCCAATATTCTCTGGTTTCTCCTCAGATCATATAAATCTTTCCCCTTTTATCAATTTTCTTAAGGGGATGATGTGGCTCTGGGCACTCTGTACCCGCCCAGAGGCACTCTTGCCACTTTTCTTAAGAGGTTAATGAAGCTTTAGGCCCTCTGCATTTGCTCAGATTCTTCCAGTTTTCTTAAGGAATTGATATGATTCTGGCCACTCTCTACCTGCTCAGGGACGCCTTCCTATTTCTCCCAAAGATGCTTTTCAAAAGGCAACTGGGCTTCTGTTGGGTTTTTTTTTTTCCCTTGAAAACATTTTGCTTCTACTCCAAGAAGCTTCTTCAGTTCTGTTCAGTTCTGTTCTTCAGAACTGAAGAAGTTTCTTAGCGGAGAAGCGAAATGTCTTCAAGGGGAAAAAAAAATCCAATAAAATCCAGTTGCCTTTTGAAATACACCTTTGGGGCAATCATCACCTGGATGATGGAGAATCTCCGTAGACACCCTCCTATTTCTCTTACTTTGAGGTGTAAACCCTTCTGCATCTTTCCAAGTGCTGTGATTTTTTTGCTTTGGTTGTGAAAGTGGGAATGAAGATGTAGGTTAAGCCTTTTGTTAAACGTCAACTTGCTGTCTGAACTGACTGTCAGTCAGCTTTTCAGAGCTAAGTGACATGATGCTTGCCTCCTTTATGCTGATGGTGGAGTGAGTGCCTGGATGTGGTTATTTGACAATAGAATTGTCAAGCAGATTTCTTTTTAACGGAACCATAAAGTGTGCACTCAAACAGGAAATCCAAATTCATTTATTTGCACGCTCACCCGCGTATTCAGTCACTTTTGATCTTTTCAGTTTTCACTGCAGTTACCTAAATATTGGTTTACCTCTTGAGGGAATCTGAAGGAAAGAACCAACAGCATTTTGTCTCTCTGTATGTGTGTGTCTGTGTTGTTTTTGAGTAACTTTGTTTCTCATGTAGACTTGATATTTTACATTGTTTGCTTGAGAGAATCTGGTGGAAAGAATCAACAGCATTTTTTTGTGTTGTTGTATTCGAGTAACTTTGTTTCTCATGCTGACTTGATATTTTACATTGTTTGCTGAATGTTGCATAGTAAGCAAACTGTCTTGTATGAGTAAATGGATATTATAGTTTCAAATATCCTTTAACTCCTTCTGCAAATGGACTGTTGCCTGCAGTAACTGAATCCCATCTGTTACTTTAGGAAAATATCTGCATCCCAGCATAATAAAAAGCTCATATTTTTTTTAAAAAAGACTTAGATTCACAGGCATGCTGTTATTACATTACAGTTTAAGCGATTTTCCTCCTAGATTCCATTTAGAATATATCAGAATTTCACCGTGGTATCCATAACACCAACTGAGAAGCAGTGGCTTAGAAAATGCTCTTAATTAAACACTTCATGTGTTTGTTTTTTTTTTGCTCCTCCCTTCTGTTATATTGAAAATTACAATCTGTTGGCAAACAGCCTTAATTTCTTTCTCTTTTTTTCTTTTTACCCCATATCAAGAAGAGGATCTTGTGGGAACCAAGGGCTTTGGCCAAAATGGAGATATTCCTAATATAATTTTGCAAGTCATGTACTCTGGAGAAGCGTCGACTCCTCTAAGCACCATAACTTGATACCTGTACTTTGTGTAGAGTCAATGTACTCTAGCTGAATCATTGATGTGTTGAGGCTTGTTTGGCGTTTAGGAATAAAATGTGCAGCAGCGGAGTAAGGATGAAAAGTGGTAGACTTAGCAAGACAACAACTTGATAACAGATATGACTGGGTTTTTTTTTCTTTCCTTCCTCCTACCTCTCCGCTTCCTTGAAATATTTAAGGAATAATTGGTAACTTATATAGAAATCAGCTGGAGACAGGAGTCCAAAGTTGGAATCTGTAGTTCTCAGAAATCACATGAGTGTGACAGAATGCAAAATTAGCAACTTAGCTAACTGAGACCTGGGAACAAGATGGATCTTTCTGATTATTTGGCCATTAATAGCAGTTTCCATAAGCGCTGATTAGCTTTTTGGTTCACAATCTTTCTTGAAAACCTTGTAGATTAATTCTGAGACACTGAAACATGAAGGAATCGATATACATTTTGCCTGTGTATAATCATTTTGTGCTTCCTCTAATTAATAGGGGTGTATCAAATATTTTGCCTTTGAAGCACCCTGCTAGTGTGTGTTTTCAAATTGAAAACAGGGTTCTAATCTTATGGAAAGAGTTACGACACTCTGCTGACAATCCCATAAATTTTCTGAGCTCAAAATAGCCTGTGCTTGAAATTCCTGTTTCAACTTTGAACCCTGACGGTTTGTGATCAGAAAGCTTATTTTTCCATATGATATCTTTGGTAGATTGCTGAATAAGCCTTGAAAATAAAAAGCAACTGATTTGAACACAAAATGGAGAATTTCGAGCTTGGCTCTTTTTTGAATTGGAAACATATTCACCACCTCTATTTGATTGGCCCTTGGGGAGGACATGAGATACGTTTTGAGTGTTTGTTGATTTAAAACATTTATCTAGCCTCCCATCTTCAAACCAACTCTGGACGGCTGCCAATCAAAATTGAAAACACCATAGAAATCATAATAAAGCTATAAAACTAAGCACCTTCAAAACAACAAAAACCTGGAGCCGTCATAAACTGCAGTCTTTTGTTGAAGCACTTAGATCAGTGGTTCTCAATCTTTTTAATGCCGTGACCCCCAACCGGTTGTAAGTCGAGGACTACTCAACCGGTCGTAAGTCGAGGACTACTCAACTGGGGCAGCACCGTTGGCAGAATGGGACTTTTGGCAGGCTCAGCAGGGCAGAGACAGCCTGGACAATTCCTACTGGCTTTTGAAAGCCAATAGAATTAGACTCTATTCAAGAGAGTCTATTCTATTGGCTTTCAAAAGCCAATAGAATAAAAGGGAGTAGCACAGCTAAGGAAAAGGGGGAAAAAATGGCGGACTGCGTTGTTTGGCGACCCCCGTGAAATGGTCGTTCGACCCCAAATGGGGTCCTGACCCACAGGTTGAGAACCACTGACTTAGAAGGAAAGGAAGATCTTCAAAGCTTTACAGTAGACTAAGAACAGGCATTTTCAAACTTGGCCCTTTTATGACTTGTGGACTTCAACTCTCAGCGCATGCTGGCTGAGGAATTCTGGGAGTTGAAGTCCACAAGTCATCAAAGGGCCAAGTTTGAAGACCCTTGACTAAGAGGGTTGAGGCCTGGCAAAATTAAATGGGGCAGGGGCTGCCACGGAAAAGGCAGTCTTCTTAGCTTCCACCAGATGGTGGTATTTAGAGGAAGGGACCAGGAGCATGCCAACCCCATCTGTTCTGGTAGGATGGTACAGGTAGTCCTCAGTTTACAACTGTTCATTTAGCGACCGTTCTGTAGCAACATAATTCAAGCTGAGACTGAGTGCGCCTCCCTTTTTGATCATGCACATTATATGACTGAGAATTGACATCCCATCTTCTTGCACGTGGACAGGTATTGATGGCTAAAGGCAAAGGCTGTACAAAAATAGCCAAAGATCCATAAAGCTACGTTCTGCAGAGAGAGCACCGTGCTATATACTTCCTGATGATCAGCCTGGATTAGAGGCAGTTAGTCCACTGGATAAATCGCTGAGAGTTCGGACGAGGAATAATATTAAGAAAAGAACGCAAGAGCGGAATTCCAGCAAGGACCTAAGATGCTTAGACATGTAGCAAGGTGTAATTAATATGATAATAAGAGGTAGTCCTCGGCTTACCTCATTTGGTTCATTTAGTGACCATTCATAGTTACAACGGCACTGAAAAAAAGTGATTTATGACCATTGTTCAGAGTTACAACCTTTGCAGCATCCCCAGAGTCACGTGATCAAAAATTCAGATGCTTGGCAACTGACTCGTACTTATGATGGTTGCAGTGTGTCCCCTTTTGCGACCTTCTGACAAACAAAGTCAACGAGGGAAGCCAGATTCACTTAAAAACTGAGTCACTAACTTGTCAACTGCAGTGATTCACGTAACAACGATGGCAAGAATAGTCGTCAAATGGGGGAAAAGTCACTTAACAGCTGCCTCATTTAGCAACCAAGAAATTTGGGCTCAATTTTGAGGGCTATCTGTAGTTGTGCTTAGGGAAGAGCATCCCACAGACAAGCTGGCCCTGTGCCGTGTGAAGTTTTAAAGGTGATGATTTAGTATAAATTGAACCCAGGCTGTTCTTTGCTGAATAAGAATTGAAAGGGGGACCTGTGAGATTTTGGGGTGAGAACGCCTGCCTGAGGCCACTCCTGTCTGGCATGCTATGCTGCCTTGCCTAGTTTCACCCATTTAAAAAACTGGGGGTGTATCTTGAAACGAAAGGAAATATTGAATGTAGCATCTTTTAGTGGACTTTGAAATGTTTTGGATTTAGCTGGTATTTTCTTCCAGGATAATACAAATTGTGAAAGTTTTATTCAAGACTGCCCATGTTCCATTTTGCTTCTTGATAATCCTTCCGGCTCTGTTCCAAGCTGGGCACCCAAGCCTGTTATTAGAAGTGGATTATGGGGCTTGAAATCTACATTTCTCAATAAACGGCGAATGCATAAAACTTCTTTCTGCATTATATCAAGTGGGCCAAGTAACCTTCTCACCTTTATACTTACTTTGGATGTATTATGGATCCCTCTCCCTCCCTCTCTCTCTCTCTCTCTCTCTCTCTCTCTCTCTCTCTTTCCCCTTTCTTTCTCTCTTTCCCTTTCTCTCCTTTCTCTCTCTCTCCCTTTTCTCTCTTTCTCTTTCTTTCCCTTTCTCTCTCTCTCCTCTTTCTTTTTCTTTTTCTCTCTTTCCCTTTCTCTCTCTCTCATCTATCTATCTATCTATCTATCTATCTATCTATCTATCTATCTATCTATCTATGTGTTTATATGTAGAAATGGTTCAATTAGCAATTCTCCTCTTGGAAAAGGGGAAGAAGCGGCCTGGTTTTGCAAAGTCACGTTTCATTCATTCCCGCTATTTGCAAGTGGAAAGATATTTAATATAACATGTTTGTGTGTGTGTGTGTGTGCTTGAATTTTAGGGTTGCAGAACAGTGGTGCCCGAAGACAATTTTTACTTGAGCGTTTATTGGATGCAGTTAAACAGGTGAGAAATTAAAACTTCCAACTGTCCGGGAAAAAAAACCAACCTTGAAAAAAGTGACTTATGTCTGGTTCTCACGTTTAAAACCTTTACAGCGTCTCACGCATCCTGTTCAATACCTGAAAGTTTATCCAAGCAGCTTTGTTGTTAACTTACAAACGTTGTCTTACAGTGCCAGATCAGATTTGGGGGAAGGAAAGAGATCGCTTCGGATTCAGATAGCCGGTAAGTTTGAAGTAACATGATTTTTTTGGGGGGGGGGGGGAACGAGAAGTTCAATCTGCAGGTGTTTTATGGTGGGCATGAAGTCTCAAGAACAGGGATCTTCAAACTTGGCCCTTTGATGACTTGTGGACTTCAACTCCCAGAGTTGAAGTCCACATGTGCCTGGCTGAGGAATTCTGGGAGTTGAAGTCCACAGGTCATCAAAGGGCCAAGTTTGAAGACCCCTGGTCTGGATCCAAGCCCACGGTTTCATCAAAATGGCTGACTGAGGAATTCTGGGAGTTGAAGTCGACAAGTCATAAAAGGGCCAAGTTTGAAGACCCATGGTCTGGATCTAAGCGGTTTCATCAAAATCACCGACTGAGGAATTCTGGGAGTTGAAGTCCACAAGTGATAAAAGGGCCAAGTTTGAAGACCCATGGTCTGGATCAAAGCCCACGGTTTCATCAAAATGGCCGACTGAGGAATTCTGGGAGTTGAAGTCCACAAGTGATAAAAGGGCCAAGTTTGAAGACCCATGGTCTGGATCTAAGCGGTTTCATCAAAATGGCCGACTGAGGAATTCTGGGAGTTGAAGTCCACTAGTGATAAAAGGGCCAAGTTTGAAGACCGCTGCTCAAGAGAAATGGAGAGCCTCTGCAACAGAGGAGCATCATCTGAGCTTTTCAGGGCTTTATTTCGTATTCCTCAAACAAGTCTGTCCACGGCTAAATATCTACAGAGATTCTCAGCCATCCAGGTTGTGGTTGTCCCAAAGATGCTTTTTCACAAGGCAACTGGACTGTTTCTTCTTTTTCTCTGAGAAGACATTTTGCTTCTCATCAAAGCTGAAGAACCTTCTTGGATGGGAACGAAATGTCTTCCGAGAGAAAAAAGAAAGTCCAGTTGCCTCGTGAAAAAGCACCTTTGGGGACAAGTCTGTCCATGATCACTGTTGGTTGGTGATGGTTTATTTCTTGCCTGTTGCGGCAGGAACTGCCCAAGTGACTGAAGTATTTGTCTTAAATTAGGCTTCTTCTTGTTATGGTCCACCAAGTCATTTATGTCTCCTGGAGTCTACAGGAAACGAGTCCGTGTGGTTTTCAGAAGTGGTTTGCCATTGCCTTCTTCCTGGGGCCGAGAGAGAGGGACTGGCCCAAAGTCAATCCTTAATAATCCATTTTTTATGGAGCAGCTGAGCCAAGACCTTTTAACACAGGGGCATCCAACCTTGGCAACTTTGAAGCTTGTGGATTTCCACTCCCAGAATTCCCCAGCCAGCCAGCCTCCCCTCCCCTCATTGAAAATGTCTGGCTTCTCTTGTCAATTTTGTCCTTTTTTTCAGCTGATAGGAGATGCAGTTAGCCCAACATCTGGAGATGGTTTGATGGGACTTCTCACCAGTGACTTGACTATGACCCAGACAGTTTGACGAGCTCCAAAATATGTCTTTAAGCAAGAGACCTCACCTTTAGCAAACCTCCCCTTCTCTTTTGTCCTTGTCATCCTCTTTTTACCTTGTTCCAAACTGTAAGATGGAGAAGAGGCTTGAAAATGAAAGTGATATATAATCACTCAGGCTTGTTCTGGGAATCCCTTTAAAGCACAGGTATTACACAGCAGGGAATTCACCTTATGTGTGTGCAGAGAGAGAGAGAGAGAGAGAGAGAGAGAAAATGGATTATATTTCTGCACCTCCTTGCAAATTCTTGGCAGTAGCTGTATGGGGCCAAATTCCCACTTAGTTTGGAGGAAATTGAGGTAAGAAGTTTCTACACGCCTCAGTTTCTCTTCTCTGTTTTGCGGTTAGGGACATAATACTTAGCAATAATTTTCAGGGGATTTCTGTTGTTATTGCATCCTGTCTGTTTCTCCAGAAAAGCAGCTGTATTTTAAAGTCTTGTTTCTCTTCTTCTTCTTCTTCTTCTTCTTCTTCTTCTTCTTCTTCTTCTTCTTCTTCTTCTTCTTCTTCTTCTTCTTCTTATTCTTCTTCTTCTTCTTCTTCTTCTTCTTCTTCTTCTTCTTCCTTCTTCTTCTTCTTCTTCTTCTTCTTCTTCTTCTTCTTCTTCTTCTTCTTCTTCTTCTTCTTCTTCTTCTTCTTCTTCTTCTTCTTCTTCTTCCTTTTCATGTTATGACTATTATAAAATGAACCTGCAGGCTGAGATAGTTTTGCCTTGCTGTACACATTCACCATTTAGAAAACTTTTAAGCCCTTGATAAGAAGAGAATTAGGAAGAGAAGATGGCAGCTCCGTAGCTCTGGAGTGGGGTTTACCCCGATTATGTTCACTGAACGTGTGGTTTGACCGTTGTCCTTTCTAAAAATGAACAAAAGAGAGAGGGGATTATCTTTTATCATCCTAGACCAGGGTTAGGCAACCTTGGCTCTTTTAGGACTCGTGGACTTCAACTCCCAGAATCCCTGAGCCAGCCGTGCTGAGAGGAAAGGGAGAGGTTTCCAAGCTGAGCCATGCTGGCTCAGGAATTCTGGGAGTTGAAGTCCACGAGTCATAAAAGAGCCGAGGTTGTCTACCCCTGTCCTAGACTAGTGTTTATCAACTCTGAGAACTTTGAGCCGGGTGGACATCAACTCCGAGAATTCCCCAGCCAGTTTAAAATTCCCAAAGTTGAGAAACACTGTTTCAGTTACTCTTTCTCAACCCTAGAAAGGAGGCAACAGTAAACCACTTCTGGAAACCTTGCCAAGATAATTGTGGAGACTTGTCCAGGTATAATCAGAGGCAATCGAAAGAAAGAAAGAAAAAATAGAGTGAGAAAGTTTTACATGAAGAGAGCGTTTATTTTTGCTCTTCCTGGATGTCGCTTGCTCTTTTCTATATTTTAATGTTCCAAACCAACTTTTAAACAGCATAAACCACCCAAACATATTATAGCAATAGACTTAATGATTATCCCATAGTCCTTTACCGGTCTCTCTAGATAGTTTACAGTGTCAGCGTATCGTCTCTAACCACTTGGCTGCTCATTTGATCGATTTCGGAAGGAGGGAAAGCTGAGTCAACCTTGAGGCCCATCTGGATCAAACTCCCGGCAGTGGGCAGAGTTAACCTGCAATACTGCATTCTCACCACCAGGGATCCTACGTTATATGGAGCTGGGCAGCCTTACCAATTTCATGAAATAAATGCATCAAATCTGGCTTTTGGGTTGCCTGGGAAGGCCTTATCTTAGATTTTCCTTCCTTTTCCAGTGTTTCTTAAGGTCTTAAAGACATTTTGAAAAAAAAAGTACTTCTTCCCCCCGTCTTTCCCAACATAAAAACTCTGTGGGGAGGATGCCCACGATGCCCATTTGAGATTGGACTGTGCCTCCCCCCCCCTGCCATGGGGCATTTTCCCATGCTAAGCTCGAAGATCTGTACCACTTTGGCATCGCCAGGCGCCAGTTCGCCTCTGTCGCCTTCACAACGTAGCGCTCGGTCTCTGCTTTCCTCCATTTTGCGCAGCGTTTCCCATTCAACCGCCGCTGTCTTTCAGAGTTACGTGCCTCTGCGCGCAGTTTGAGTCCGTCCTTCAGCATGGCTTGAAGAGGACCCGGGGGTTAGCTTTAACTGCAGCCGCCATCAAGCAAGTTACCGGATTCTCCAGTAAAACTGAAATGGGTAATTCAGCCTTCTAGCATGCTTGCCTCTTCCTCATTTTTTTTTTTTAAAAATTGAACAATGCTTTGGCAGTCTTCCTTCCGTGCCAATCGCTGGCAACTGAACTCCTTTCAACAGCATCGTGGGGGAGGAAGAGACGATTGCTTCTCCTATCTGAGCTGAGGCTTGGATGGGCCTCCTTATAATGGTTATTGCCTCCCACGTCAGCCACATCTGTTCTATTATGGTTGTGTGCCTGGGGGTGACTCTGTTGGAAAGAAAGCTTGGCTGCAAGATCTCTTTCCTAAAAAGCAGGTGATAAATGCGAAAAATGACACGTACGACGGTGGAATAACCCTAGCTCTCCCTGAGTTGGTTTCTGAGGATCGTGGTTCTTTGCATCGTGGTTAGTGATCTGAGATTCTGGGAACTCATTTTGGGGGCTGAAGAGGGTTGTGGTCAGGAAGAAATATTCCTTGATCATTGCCCCTCACTCTGCAATACATTGGTGCCTTTTCCTTGACAAGTCAAGCCACTTTTCAGATAACTCTTAAAATACGTCGATGATTTTTGGAGAATGGCAGCTATGCTTTGCTTCCTATATCAGTGTTTTCCAGTGTTGGTGGCTTTAAGATGTGTGGACTCCAACGCCCAGAATTCCCCAGCCAGCATGAATTCTGGGAGTTGAAGTCCACACACAATTTCTTAATCTCCCTGTGATTAAGGCATTCAGCCGCAAATGAGCTTGTGAATGAACTCCGTTTGGACAACCTAACTTCAACAAGATATAAATTGAAATTTCTAAAATAGTAGAACAGCTTATCTTGCAAACTCTTTTGAGATAAGGCCAGGTTATCCAACTTTGTCAGCTGATTCTCCCAGCCAGCATGAATTCTGGGAGTTGAAGTCCCTATGTGATTTTTGGAAATTCGTGGATTCCAGGAATTCTGGGAGTAGAAGTCCACGCGTCTTAAAACCTCCGAGGTTGAGAAACATTGTCCTAGGTGACTGGCTGCAGGCTAGTTTAAATTTTATTGCTATTTTCTGAGAGTAATTATGATTTTGAAAAAATGTTTATGGTTTGAGATTTGTAATTGTGACAGTGTAAAAATATTAGGAATATAATAGCTGGAGAGTTCCATGCTCTCCATCCATTCTTAGCTGCCCAGAGTTGTGATAACGAGACGAGTAGTCAAATTTCCAGGCTACTTGTGAACCTATTTTTTTTCTCTTCCCAGAATCCATATTTTGGTACTATGTGAAGGAAGTTCTTAATAAACATGAGCTGCAGCGTTTCTATTCTCTGAGGAATATCACAACGGATACGGGTCGAGGCCGAGCCTGGCTCCGCTGCGCTCTCAATGAACATTCCTTAGAAAGATATTTGCATATGTTGCTTGCAGATAAAAATCATCTCAGGTACGTTTTCTAAATGCTCTTCTTCGTGGGGAAGGTGGGCATGGTTTTAAAAGTAGGACTTTTAGGTAGATACAGAGAATAATTACAGGTCAAGGTTGAACTGTGAGCTTTGTCTGCGCTTGGTTGTTTTCTGGCAGATCAAAAAATTTTCATTGCTAAGCAAGACAGTTGCTCCAACTTTATTATTATTATTATTATTATTATTATTATTATTATTATTATTATTATTATTACTACTACTACTATGTGAGTTGTGGCCCATTTCTTGCTAGGATAGGATAGGATAGAATATAGGATAGGATAAGATAGGATAAGATAGGGTAGGATAGGATAGGATAGGATAGGATAGGATAAATGGAGTAGAGTAGAGTATAGAGCTGGAAGGGACTCTGGAGGTCTTCTAGTCCAGCCCCCTGCTCAAGCAGGAGAACCTACCTACACCATCTCGGACAGGTGATTGTCTAGTCTTTCCTTATAAATCTCCAGTGATGGAGCGCCCACGATTTCTGGGGGTAAGCTGTAAGACCTTTCCTATGCGTAGATTTGTTTATTTTTTTTACTCCGCCTTTTCAGTGTCTTCTATGAAGACTGGTCCTTCCTGATGGACGAAGAACGATCCAGTATGATTCCCATCATGGCAGCCGGTAAGCATGGACCAACATCTAGACTTGAAACCTTCTGGACTCATTCATAGTCTGGCTATGATTTCAGCAAATCATTTAGCTGCGTCCTACTGAACAATCTGCAGCAAAGGTTGAGTACCAGCCTGAACCACAAATTATTGTTTACAAGCCATAACAGCTTCACTGTGAAGTAGGAGCTGCTGTCATGCTGTCTCTCCTGGGAATTCAATTTCTGCTGCGTCTTAAGGAATTGCCGGGCGTGGCTAAGGAGTGGGCGTGAGGTCCCAGGTAGATTAGCGGCCAGGTAAAGCAACTGATCAAATCTGACTGATAATGAAGAACTTCTTCTGTATAAATCCGGGGTGTCCAACCTTGGTGACTTTTAAGATCTGTGGACTTCAGCTCCCAGAATCCCCCAGCTAGACATGCTGGCTGGGGAATTTTGGGAGTTGAAGTCCATAAATCTTAGTCTTCGAGGTTGGACGCCCCTGATGTCTATAGTTCTATCTCATTTCCCTCTGGCCAATCCTAATTTGTTTTTTTGTTTTTTGTTTTTTGTTTTCCTCACCTATCCCAGCCCACTGGAGTTTGTGGCATCTAAAACCTGAGCTAAAAGTATTTATAAAAGATGATTGAGAAGGCTGTTTTATTTCAGTCCCATTGGAGTGAATTTAGGCCAGAGATCTTCAAACCTGGCCCTTTTATGACTTTTGGCTGAGGAATCCTGGGAGTTGAAGTCCACAAGTCATAAAAGGGCCAGGTTTGAAGACCCCTGCTTGTGGACTTCAACTCCCAGAATTCTTCAGCCAGGCACGCTGGCTGAGGAATTCTGGGAGTTGAAGTCCGCATGTCATAAAAGGACCAAGTTTGAAGACCCCTGATTTAGCTGACCTAAAAGATTGTGGTTTGGTTTTGTTTTGTTTCCTTTTGTTTTCTCTTTACCCAAAGGGCTGAACTCCATTCTCTTTGCAATCAACATTGATAATAAGGATTTAAATGGACCGAGCAAGTGCCCGCCCTCCGTCTCTGACCTTCTCAAGGAATCCACCCAGAACGTGACCTCTTTGCTCAAAGAATCCACCCAAGGTGTCAGCACCCTCTTCCGGGAGATCACAGCTTCGTCCCCTGTTTCCATGTTAATCAAATCCGATCAAGATGCTGACCTGCTGCCTATTTTATCCAAGTGTGTCAGTGGCGGTAAGTGCTGCTAGGAATATAGATAGCCTTCACTTAAGGACTAGTTGCTTAGTGACTGTTTAAAGTTAGAACAACTGCCCCCCCCCAAAACCCTACTTATGACCGGATTCTGGAGTTCTGACAGCTGCACAGACACACCCCTCCCTGAAGTCCCACAACCACATTACGAAGACTTGGCAACCAACTAATGTTTATGGCCAGTTGCATGTGTTCTGCAGTTGTGCGACCATGATTGACAATGTATTTTGTCAGTTTCTGGCAAAAAAAGCTCATAGGAATACATTGTTTCACTTAATGACCATGTTATTGTTAGTTGCGAAGTCGTGTCCGACCCATCACAACCCCATGGACAACATTCCTCCAGGCCTTCCTGTCCTCTACCATCTTCTAGAGTCCCTTTAAGCTCACGCCTACTGCTTCAGGGTCTCCATCCAGCCACCTCATTCTCTGTCGTCCCCTTCTTCTATTGCCCTCCATCTTTCCCAGCATTAGGCCCTTCTCCAGGGAGTCCTTCCTCCTCATTAGGTGGCCAAAGTACTTGAGTTTGAACTTCAGGATCTGGCCTTCTAAAGAGCAGTCAAGGTTGATCTCCTCTAGGACTGACCGGTTGGATCGCCTTGCAGTCCAGGGGACTCGCAGGAGTCTTCTCCAGCACTAGAGTTCAAAGGTCTCGATTCTTTGGCGCTCTGCCTTTTTTATGGTCCAACTTTCCCAGCCATACATTGCAACTGGGAAAACCATGGCCTTGGCTATACGCACGTTTCTTGGCAGGGTGACGTCTCTGCTTTTTAGTATGCTGTCTAGATTTGCCATAGCTTTCCTCCCCAGGAGCATTACCATAGCCTTCACTTAATAATCACGGTGTTTGCTTCACGATTGCCACACAAAAAGTCGTAAATTCAGGTCAGGTCACATGGATGCCTCAACTGATAAGTGTCATCACTTACAAGAGAAGTTGCAGGCGATCATACGTTGAAGATACACACATGACATTACATACATATATCTCTTGCAAGCTTTTTGCATGAAGGCTGGGGTATCCAACCTTGGCCACTTTAAGACCTAGGATAGACTTCTACTTCCAGAATTCAATTCCCAGCAAGGTTGGCTGAGGAATTCTGGGAGTCGAAGTCCACACAGGTCTTTAAAGCTGCCAAAGCTTGGACACCCTTGAGTTGAAGGTCTTCCCTTTGGGGCCTCTGTTCCTTCCTTCAGATTTAAAATGCCGGAAAGACCGAACGAAGAAAAAGAAGAAAATCACCAAAATCATTTCGTTCGACGACGAAGAGGGCCAACTTCTAGGGACCTCCTTACGGGGGACAGCGGCAGGAGAAGACTCTGAAGATTGTGGCGAGAGACTTTCAGCCTCGGGAGCGTCTTCTGTAACTGAACAGATGGACACTCTGCACGGCAACGAGGCTGGGACGTCACTCAAGCATCCTTCTGAGTATCTGAACGGGGACTGCGGCTACCTGAAACTGGATGTCAAAAGTATAGACGATGAAGAGGCTGAGGACAATGAGGACAACACCACCAGGACATTGAGGAACCACAGTGTGATGGAAGACACAGAGGTGCTTACAAAGTGAGTCTGGTCCGAATACAGGTAGTTCTCGCTTGACGACCTGTTTGAATTAACGACAGACCCCCCCTCAAAAGATGCTTACTATCTGTCCTTGAAGTGACAACTGCTGTACCCCAAACCCCCCTGGTGGTTACATTATTGTCGGACCTGCCACAACTTTAACCTCCAAATTAAAAAAAAACAAAAAGCAATCCTTGGCTCCATTTGTTGTATAGTTTAATTAGAGATCAATTGTATTGGCAGTATTGCAAAACCAGAAGTGAGAACCGCGGGCCCAAATCCCGAAGTTCTGCTTTTCCCTCCCTTAACTTATCTCTCATTACCCACCCCAGGGTAACCAATCAGGTTCAGGCAAGATGTTTTCATAACGGTCAGTCCAAGCCCAGATTGGCATGCGGCCCTTTGCTTCTTCCAGCTGGGTGACCTTGAGGCAGTGTTTTGAGGAGACATTTTTGGTTTAACTAGACCTATTTTTTGGCTTAACTAGACCTGCTGAAGGTGTGACGTCCCATTCATTGGTTTGCACGGAGACTCCTCTGCAAATGCTGAACGACGACTTGGATGAATTATTCCCAGTCAGCGCTGTGGGTTCTTTCTCCCAGACTGGTAAGTAGGTTTGATATCCCCACATCTCTTCTGTGGGTCCCACAGGGCCTTTTTTTCCAACTGGACTTTCTTGGTTTTTATTTTTTCCTTTGAAAAAAAGGCTTTCTAATGCCTTCTCCTTGGCCTTTGGAGCCGCCCCATTACATTCCTCTGTCCTACTCTCTTCTCTTCCCGGTGAATTTGTGCATCCTGGATATCTCCCAGCTGTGATTCATCACTGTCCAACTCAGGCTCCCAGCACAGCTGTGTCTCAGCCTGAGCGCAAGTAGAGGGGCCAGGCTCCTCGTCAGACGGAGCTCCTCAGAGCCTTCCTCTGACTCTGATATCACTCCAGCCCCCCCCTCCTCCTCCTCCTCTGATTCCTCAGACTCAGCTGCCGGGTCCACTGGCTGGCGAGGAATCACAACCCATTCTTTTAGTGACCGTTTGAAGTTACAACAGCTCTGAAAAAAAATGACCGATGACCATTATTCACCCTTGCGACCGTTGCAGCCTCCCCCGGGGTCACGTGATCAAAATTCAGATGCTTGGCAACTGGCGTGTACCTATGACAGTTGCAACGTCTCAGGATCGTTTGTGACCTTCTGATAAGCAAAGTCCACGGAGAAGCCAGATACCCTTCACAACCGTGTTGCTAACTTAACACCTGCAGGGATTCACTTAACGAGTGTGGCCAAGAAAGGTCATATAATGGGGCAAAACTCACTGAACAACTGTCTTGTTTAGCAATGGAAATTTTGAGCTCAGTTGTGGTTGTAGTGAAGAACTGGGCGGGGGGGGGGGGGGGTTAGCGACTTTGTTCCTACCTTCCAGAGCCTGACGTATTCCAGCATTTCAGTGCTGAAGTTGCAAAATGCAGGAACCTTTTTTTTTAAAAAAAAAAGAATTCTGTGCCAGCTAGTCATTATTATTATTATTATTTATAAATTATGCTTTTATTTCCTTCCCACGCCATTCATTATGGGGAATTCCAGCGCAGCGGACAATTTAGAGCATGAATTATTTAAAAATCTAATAGAGAGGAGGGAAGCCATTATGCAGCAGCCATAAAGGGAAAAAGCAATAATAAAATTCAATTACGCCCAAGCCACATTTGATGAGGAGAGTTCATGTTTAGGACATTATACAAGGAAGGTTAGGCCTGAGGTCTATAACATTATTCATGGTGTAGGGAGAAATTTTTTTTATCCATTTGTTTTCATTTTCCATTTCCCAGCACAAAATACTCTGATCCCTGGCTATCAAAAACTACCCGTCTATGGGGTAGAGTCTAAAGTCTAAAGAAGGTCTAAAGACATAATCAAGTGGACAATCTAAAACTAGGTTTCCAAATAGCATTAAGCTGTGGTCTGCTTAATCATGATCTTTGAGATAAACAGCCATTGTTTGTGTTTACAAAGGATGATGCTGCCGAGCTGAACAAATCACATCCAGGCTAACGAGATTTGTGGATGGTAGTTTTACTCCTTGTAGTATTCACCATCTGAGTAAGCTTGCTCTTCCATGTTGAGGGTGTGAGCTGTATAATTCTTAGCAAAGGAGGTTTTCAATCTTAAATAAAGGGATGCAATAAATTTCAACCTCCCAATTATAGAGTAGAGTAGAGTAGAATAGAGTAGAGTGGAGTGGAATATAGAATAGAATAGAATAGAATAGAATAGAATAGAATAGAATTTAGAATTTAGAATTTAGAATTTAGAATAGAATAGAATAGAGTTTAGAATAGACTAGAATAGAATTTAGAATAGAATAGAATTTAGAATAGAATAGAATAGATTTAGAATAGAATAGAATTTAGAATAGAATAGAGTTTAGAATAGAATAGAATTTAGAATAGAATAGAATAGAATAGAATAGAATTTAGAATTTAGAATTTAGAATAGAATAGAATAGAATAGAGTTTAGAATAGACTAGAATAGAATTTAGAATAGAATAGAATTTAGAATAGAATAGAATAGATTTAGAATAGAATAGAATTTAGAATAGAATAGAGTTTAGAATAGAATAGAATAGAATAGAATAGAATAGAATAGAATAGAATTCAATTCAATTCAATTCAATTCAATTCAATTCTATATTGGCCAAGTGCAGTTGGACACACAAGGAATTTGTTTCCGGTGCATAAACTTTCAGTACATGCAAATAACAAGTAATAAGCATTTAGTTTGCAGATATTGCAGAAAGAGAGGGGTGTTAATGTATGGTAGCTAAAAACCAGAAAGAATTTAGTAGCACCTTTTCCAGCTAACATGTATTTGTTCTCAAGATATAAGTTTTCATGCAAAGCTTACACCTTTTAATAAACTTGTTAATGCTGCCAGACTCCTTCCAATGTTTAATTTAACGTATTGCTATTTCTCCACCTTGAAATTTTTATCCGGGGGGAATTTCCCCGACACAGTTGAATTTGGAGTGGAATTTAACAAGTCAGCACACAAAAGAGAACGTGTGAGAACGTGTGCGATAACAGAAATAACAGAATAATAGAGTTTGAAGGGACTTTGGAGGTCTTCTAATCCAACCCCCTGCTCAAGCAGACAAATGGCTGTCCAGTCTCTTCTTAAAAACCTCCAGTGTTGGAGCATTCACCGCTTCTGGAGGCAGGTTGTTCCACTGGTTAATTGTTCTCACTGTCAGGAAGTTTCTCCTTAGTTCTAGGTTGCTTCTCTCCTTGGTTAGTTTCCATCCGCTGCTTCTTGTCCTGCTTTCAGATGCTTTGGAGAATAGCTTGACTCCCTCTTCTTTGGGGCAGCCCCTGAGATATTGAAAGACTGCTATCATGTTACCCTTAGTCATTCTTTTGTATATGTGTGTAGAGTTGAAAAAGGGAAGAGCCGTAAGCCAAGGAAAAGAATATTTTTACTAACATACCGTACATTTCTATGACTCCTTTAGAAAATCTGGAGGATGGCAACGAACACGGAAGGGCAGATTTTTCAGTAGAATTGACTCAGAGCAATGCTGAATTGCACTACAGGTAACTAATCAATTAAAAGGTCATTCAACAAAAATGAGCAGCCTACAGTACTGGATTGGATAGGTGTTCTGCTTTTCATGGACATTTCTGCTGGTGCCTGCAAGTATCCCAGCTTCTCCTAAATATATTTCGGCCTACAAAGTTTTAATTTTTAAAAAGGCGAAATTTTTTTGCCTGTTCAGGGCTGTGTGTGGGTATATGGGGGCTGCTAAACCTCCAATATCACTGTAAGAATGTTTCTGTATCCCAATAAATAAATAATGAGAGATGCTAATAAATCAGTAGGTGGATGCAACCCAGTGCTTTTTTTTTTTGTTTTATTTTTTTGGGAGCATGCCAGGGGAAGGACCAACATGTGGGGGGACTTGAAACATGGGGAAGGGTCAGGAGTAAAGGAGGGCTGAAGGAAGAAGGGGAAGTAGGCTAAGGGAACTAGATTCTGTATGTTTAGCCCAGGGGTAGGCAACCTTGGCTCTTTTAGGACTCATGGACTTCAACTCCCAGAATTCCTGAGCCAGCCACGCTGAGGGGAAAGGGAGGTGTCCAAGCTGAGCCATGCTGGCTCAGGAATTCTGGGAGTTTTGAAGTCCACGAATCATAAAAGAGCCAAGGTTGCCTACCCCTGGTTTAGCCTAACAAAGAGTTGGCTTAGAGGAGACATGTTTGGCGTCTGTCGTGGTTAAGACCTCAGGCTAAAAACCGGGAGTTTGGGAGTTCTAGTCCTCCTTTAGCATAAAAGTTGGCTGACTGTGTGACCTCAGTCCAGTCCCTCTCTCTTGGCTCTAGGAAGCGAGCAATGCTTGCTTGTTACGTCAGTCTGATCGGAACGTTCTTATATTTGTCGTGCTGTTTTTAAAGCTGGCCGTTCTGAAATCAGCTAAGTTGAGCTAAACCAGGGGTCTTCAAACGTGGCCCTTTTACGACTTGTGGACTTCAACTCCCAGAATTCCTCAAGCCAGCGTGCCTGGCTGAGGAATTCTGGGGGTTGAAGTCCACAAGTCATAAAAGGGCCACGTCTGAAGACCCCTGAGCTAAACCCTCTTACATTCATACGTCTTGATGCCAGAGTTTAGATTTGAATGAGGATAGTGGCCTGTGTTGTCTATATAAGACTTCCTTGGATAGCCCAATCCATATTAATGAGAATTGAGGCTTCCTGTCTGCAAAGGCTCCCGCAGAATAATTTGATTAGGCTGGAATGAATTGTTTTTACACTTGTTTCAGTCGTTCTAATTGTTTTAGGTTGCTTTTTTTTTTTTTTTAAACCAATCTCCCTCTCTATTTTTATATTTAGGGTAGAAAGCAGTTCTCCTGTTCATAAGAATGCATTAACTGAACTTCTGCCTTCAGACAGCGTGCCAGAAACAATGACTGTGGGTAGGTAGCTATTCGACTGTATTTAATCCTTTTGATCCGTGGAAAAAGTTTCATCAGGACATGTTTTCATCTGAGGAGACCCTCAAAGCTAGGTTTGTCAAGGCTTATATTTGCTGCTCTTGCCGCTAAATATGTTTAGGAATTCTGCCTAAACCACAAACATTTAAATTCATTGCTGAAGGAGGGACCAGATTGCTTGATCTAGGCCCTTTTATGACTTGTGGACTTCAACTCCCAGAATTCCTCAGCCAAGGAATTCTGGGAGTTGAAGTCCACAAGTCTTAAAAGTTGCCAAGTTTGAAGACCCCTGTTTTAGACCCGTGGAAGATTACTAACATCAGTTGTCCAGCAGGGGGCACCATTGCCTTTGTGTTTGTTGATTGTATATCTCTATCCAGCAGTTGATTTTTTTTCCCCCTAATGGCTTTGAGCATTTAAGTGGATGACAGTAAACCTGATTTGACAGGTATCCAGGAAGATGACTTCAGTGTAAAATTTAAAAATTTAACGCAGCAGGGTTGTGAATGTTTGAAAAAAGATCCCGAAGACCTGCTCGCACGAATGCTATAAATCTCATTAAAACATTAAAACAGGTAACTTGTTTCCCTCCGAGTTTCTACGTGATCTGGCTTTGAGATCCACAATGACCTGCTCAAAGGGATTTCTTGAAGCAGTAGCTTTTGTTGAATTGATTCAAGATTGTTGTGTTTGGTTTTTTTTTTTTTTTTTGCCGAAGCTTGAAAAAAGTTGGGCAACTTTAATGAACAGCGGAGGGATGCTACGTCCACACAAATTGCAAACACACTTCTTCTAACTCTTAAGCAAAATATTTACAGCCTTCAAGTTTATGATTGTGATTTTGGATGCAATCTGGTGTCAAAAGCAGCTTGAATAAGAACCAGCTGCTACATATCCACTATAAGTTGCTTGCGTTAGAAAAGAAACCAATGAAAAGTTCAGAGTTAGTTCTGCCTGCTCTTTGGATATTGACCTGGTTGTGCTGAGGGACTAAGTGACTCAGTGACCCTTGGCATCTGAAAATTTATTAAGCCAGGCTTGGTAAACAATGGGCACTTTTCTCGTTGCTTAAAAGTCCTAATTTTAGTAGCTTTATTTTCTTGCGAGGTATGGAAACGACTGCATATAAGTCTTTAGACCTGGGTTTCTCAGCCTTGATAACTTTCAGACCACTGGACCTCAATGCCCAGAATTCCCATGGCTGGATGACGGATTCTGAGAATTGAACCCCACGTATCTGAGAATGGCCAAAGGTTGAGAAACACTGGTTTAGACAGATAAAATGTTCCTTCCCTGCCCCAGGTTTGTGTTTGAATTCAGGTGTCCGGCAAAATGGGTCATCTCCCATTTTGCTAAAGCTTAACACAGTTGAGTAGGTTTCTACCTACAATGTTATGGCTGATTGAGCCCATTATGGTTGAAGCAGACCACTGAGGTCTTGAGTGTTTCTTTGATGCACCCTGTTGGCCCAAATATGGGAGGAAAAAATCTTTGGCTGGCTGATGAGAGCTAATTAGCTTGAAATAGCTATCCCAGTCCCCCTTCAACTCTTCGTTAGCAATCCCCCCCAAAAAAATTAGCGTGGGGGCACACACACACACACACACACACACACACACCTATGCAAAAGATTTGTTTTTTAATGAATAGCTTTTTTTTCACTTCTTTTTTCCCCAAGGGAACAGCTTCTGAATAATGAAGCTTCCAGCCTGTTGCATAGCAACTTAACTTGCTAAACATGTAGCAGGTGTAACATATGGAATACGGGATGATGTCAAAGCCATGTCAGTTCTTCCGACAAGTGGTTTTTTTAACAGCCACGTTTTTGAAGGCAGTGATTGCAACATGTGTGAGCTGAGGAAGAGCCTTCCCTGTCTTCCAAGTTCATTATTTTAAATAATTTTAAAATAATTTCAAAAAAGGACACAAAGTTAAAAGATAAATACAACTAGAATATTAGCCATTGTCTATCCACTGCAGGATGAAGGCTCCTTCTGCATGTTTCCAACCAATAGACACACAAACACAGTATATATAAATAGAGGGGAGAGAAAGAGAGAGAGAGAGAGAGAGAGAGAGGAAGGAAGGAAGGAAGGAAGGAAGGAAGGAAGGAAGGAAGGAAGGAAAAGAAAAAAGAAAGAAAGAAAGAAAGAAAGAAAGAAAGAAAGAAAGAAAGAAAGAAAGAAAGAAAGAAAGAAAGGAAGGAAGATGGAAAAGAACGACTTCTGACTTTCTTTGGTACAGATAAAATATAAGACGCCATCAAACTCTTACCTTAAGATGAACATTTGTGTACATTCTTTTGATAATCCCATATAATGCTAATCATCAAATCCCCCAAATCAGGTTTTCAGTTCTTTCACTTCCTCACAAAAAGTACAATCATGATTTCAAGCAGAAATAAAATTTGCCAAAGTCTTTTTTTTTTTAATCCAGGCTGTCCATTTCTCCATCTCTGCCAATTCTATCAGTTTCAGAGTCCATTGTTGCATTGTAGGCATGTGTAAGTCCTTCTGTCTTTGAGCATATAAAAGTCCCACCTCCTATATAAAAACAAAGTTCCATAAGAAGTTTCTATTTGTTTGTCCATGAATGTAGGAGAAGAGCAGGCAGAGTTTGAGGGGTAGAGTTAAGTGTGTCCTCGGCTTAGAATCCTTACATTGCCACAAATGGTTCAAATTCAACCCCTCTTGATTTCTGTTCTTTATCTGGCGCCAATTTAGTATTGAATTTTAGTTGACTAGATTCTTGGGTGTAGGCTTAAGCAATAAATCGTCTGAACTGCAACTTAATGCATACTCCCAATACTTTGTCCCTGAGAATTTAATCCAAAATTAAAAGCCCCCAGTTTTTGAGTTTTTGCCAAGCCTGAAAGCAACTGTTTATTTTTCATTGGGATACTATTTTATGAATACACCTAAAAAGTTTGATAAATGGTTTCACTTTCCCATCATTCTCAAGAGTGTCTGTTGTTTATATTAGCCATCAAAAGTGTTTCAAGTTAACACCTTGGCCTAGGGAGATGGTTGTGTGCTTGCAAACAGGCTCATTTTGTTTTCTGCAGATAAGCCATTCAAATGCGCTAATTTGGATAAGTAAAAGCTTCCCTGGGTTTAACTGGAGACTTTGGGGGGGGAAATGCAGTGCGTGCATTTGATGCCAACCGTTTATAGAGGAAATCTTTGCTAAGCTCTTTCTAAATTCTGGGCTCTTGGGTGTTCTCTGAGCTTGGTTGCTTTCTTGCAGATGTTTCATGACCCAACTAGGTAATATCATCAGTGCTGGAAGGGCTTGCTCTCTGTTTATATACAAGTGGTTTGGCCGGTCAACTCTCTTCTAGCACTGATGATGTTACCTAGTTGGGTCATGAAACAGCTGCAGGTAAACTAGCTCAGAAATCACCAAGCATTCCACAGTTGTCCTCCTCCTCCTCCTCCTCCTCTCCACAAACCCCACTCTCTTCTAGCACTGATGATGTTACCTAGCTGGGTCATGAAACATCAGCAAAAAAACAACCAAACTCAGAGAGTTCTTTCTCCTCCTCCTCCTCCTCCTCCTCCTCCTCCTCCTCCTCCTCCTCCTCCTCCTCCTCCTCCTCCTCCTCCTCCTCCTCCTCCCTCTCTCCCTCCCTCCCTTCTAGCACTGATGTTACCTAGTTGTGTAATGAAACATCTGCAAGAAAACAAGCTCAGAGAACACCAAGGACCCCATAATTATTGTCTTCCTCCTCCTCCTCCTCCTCCTCCTCCTCCTCCTCCTCCTCCTCCTTCTCTTCCTCCTCCTCCTCTTCCTCCTCCTCCTCCTCTCCACAAACCCTCCTCCCTTCTAGCACTGATGATGTTACCTAGCTGGGTCATGAAACATCTGCAAGAAAATGACCAAACCCAGGGGGCATCAAGGACCTCACTGTTCAGCCCTGAGCTACAAATATTCTCTTCTATCAGCCCTTCTGTATTTTGAAAGATACTGGTCTAGAATAGAGTATTTCCCTTCTCTTGAAACCAGCACAGTCTTTGAGAGTTTGGAGGGTTTTAGGTTGGGGGTAATTGTTTTAGAAAGTGCTGATGGCCGTTTGTGTTAACTGAAACCGTTAAAATAAGAAAAATGAAGTCAACCCAACTCTAACCGAAACACAAATATCTGTGCTTATGAGGCATGAATTTAAAAACCGTTCTGCATGAGATGACTAAGTGTTCATTACAAAGAATAATAGACTTAATTTTGTCTATTTTTTTCCCCCCAAGCGGAACTTCGGCAAGCTATTGTAGCCATGATGAACAGAAAACATGAGCTGGAAGAACAGAACAGGTAAAACAATGATGCTTCGGGTCAGTTCTATGGATTGTCATTATAGGTGGACAGAGATTGACTTGAAGTTGATCTGAGGCTGAGTAATTTTTTAGGCTGACATACAAAGAGAACAGCAGATCTGAGGCCCAGTAGTTCTACCCTTATCAGGCCCAAACCCCAAAAGACAACACCGTGAAATCCAGCCGAATCCAATCCTTGATTTGCTTACACAGAATCGACAGCATCTTGCCAGCGTAAAGTTATAACCTTCTAACCTGTTAGATTTACTCTGAGACATTCTCAGGTGTGGCTACCCTGAACCCCTTTCTACCTTCCCCCGTGCAGTCTCTTGTCTTGTTTGGTCTTGACAAATGTTAGATTTCAGACAATCCCGTTTCACTCTACGCTTTTCTTCTCTGCAGTTCCTTGCGGAGCCTCCTGGAGGGGGAGATGGAACATTCGGCAGGACTCCGTCAAGAGGTGGACAACCTGAAGAAGAAAGCTTCAGAGCACGAAGAACACCACACAGTGAGGATTCAGGCCTTGGCAAGGTAGCGGATTTGGGCTAGGTGATGGTCTTGCTTTGGGTTTCCTGGGTGAGGCGGGACTACAACTCACAACCGCACAATCACTCACCATCTTTTACCATTGCTATATGGAGCTCCCAAATGATAATAAAGGAACCAATTTATAAGCCTTGCCCTAGCTGGCTACTTTCTAAAGACTAAAATGCTTTCAATAAGCGAAGTGTGTTGATTCTTGGCCTCGACTGATCAGCTTAGCCCAGTTGCTCTCTCACCAACTCCCAGTGCTGTTTTCTGCCTCTCCACTCCTAGGAAATCAGAACAATCGGCTGCTTAAAATGCCTTCAGGAGCTTCATTAAAATTTCATTGTTATGTAATGCGTATTCCTTTGCCAGATAGGCAGTTGCAAAGCAGTTGAAAAAAAATCCATTGGCATTGAGTAGATCTCTGCATTGGCAACTTATTAAAGAAAAGCCAGTGGGGAAGCCCTCAGCCGCCTTAACCGTCTTCCTGTTTTTGTACTTGCAGGGAGAATGAGGTGCTCAAAGTCCAGCTAAAGAAATACGTGGGTGCTGTCCAGATGTTGAAAAGAGAAGGTCAAACCATGGACGGTGAGTGGGGTTCTCCGTTCGTATAAACAGAATCTCCCTCTTTTGTTGGCTTCCAACAAGCAGAGCCAGTGGGGGAAGCTGGATTGGCGATAGGATAGGATAGAGGAGAGGAGAGGATAGGATAGAGGAGAGAAAAGGATAGAATACAGGAGAGGGGAAGGCAGGGGAGAGGATAGAAGGGAGGAGAGGATAGAATACAGGAGAGGAGAGGATAGAATACAGGAGGGGAGAGGAGAGGAGAGGATAGAAGAAAGGAGAGAGGAGAGGATAGAATACAGGAGGGGAGAGGAGAGGATAAAGAGAGGAGAGGATAGAATACAGGAGAGGAGAGAGGAGAGGAGAGAATAGAGGAGAGGAGAGGATAGAATAGAGGAGAGGAGAGGATAGAGGAGAGGAGAGGAAAGGAGAGGAGATAAGAGGATTCTTTATTGACACATAAGGAATTTGTCTCTGGTGCATAAGTGCTCAGTGTACATACATGCAACAAGCAATAAATCATGATCATCATAAAAATACATTCATTATAAATCATAAGATATAACACTTAGTGAGAGTCATAGGATACTAAATAAGCAATCAAGATAAATCATAAAGCAGCTGTTTGATTTGCTTAATGACCACAACATAAAGGTCATCAAATCAGATGTTCTTCACTTAATGACAACAAAATTCTGGTCAATTGTGATTGTAAGTTGAGGACTACCCATATACAGGGAAATTTTGCTTGGACAGGCTAAGTGGGACGGGGTGGATTATGGGGTGGCATGAAGCTGGTGTTGATTCTTAACAACCACATATGTTGACTTTCTCCAAGTGGATCTGTGCCCATTGTGGACCTTTGGCTCTTCCAACTCATCCATTCATCATGGATGTAATTGAGTCCATCCACCTTGTGGCTGGTTGTTCTCTCCTTCTCTCTCTTTCCACTTCTTAAGGGAGTCGAGTCTCATTTTCATGCCACAAATATGTGATTAATGGAACCTCATCATGTGTGTGTGTGTGTCATGAAATTGTTGGGTTGATTTATTGGATGATCCATTTGTTTTATTCTTGGCTGTCCATGGTATCCTCAAGAGTCCTTTCCAACGCCAGTGTTCAAAAGTGTCAATTTTTGCTGATACATTTATTCACAGAACACAGAACATAGACTAATAGGGTTGGATGGGACCTTGGAGGTCTTCCAGTCCAACCCCTTGCTCAGGCAGGAGACCCTATAGCAGGGGTAGGCAACCTTGGCTCTTTTATGACTCATGGACTTCAACTCCCAGAATTCCTGAGCCAGCATGGCTCAGTTTGGAAACCTCTCCGTTTCCCCTCAGCATGGCTGGCTCAGGAATTCTGGGAGTTGAAGTCCATAAAAGAACCAAGATTGCCTACCTCTGCCCTATACAATCATGGACAAATGGCTGTCCAGTCTCTTCTTGAAAACCTCCAGTGATAGAGAATCTACATCCCATAATGTACCTTATTTATCACTGAATATTGAGGGGCCTTTTGTGATTTCAGGAGTTGCAAATGTTAGAAATAATGGCGAATACCCATTTAGCGAATACAGCACATATATAGGACCACTTTTCCCCTCATTCCAAACATTTAATTACCCCTGTACCCCATTAAAACCATTTTTTGTCCTCTTCCAAGTTTATTTTTGGAAGTAAATTAAGTGGCACTTAATTTTGGAAGTAAATTAAGTGGCACTGAGCGCTGTGTCGAATAACTAGGTGCCTGAAAGAAGGAGGTATGCTTGTTTAAAAAGTAATATCAAATTAGTTTAATAACTCATTTTCTTGTTGGAGGAAATTTAATCCTTTGACAAGCAGTTTTAAAAAAATCCTTTTATTTCTCTTCCAGTGCTTAAGCTATAGAAATAATTTCCTGTTGGCATTCACAGCTGGAGTCTTCCAGTCAGAGACTTTGCTGAGCTCCTGCAGGAATTAAAAGACTTAATTTCTGTTTGGGAAACAGTGAAAATCAATATAGACCCGCACTGCTTCTTAAAAGCGTTACTGTGTCATTTTTCAAGCAAGGATTAACTAAATATGTACAGTAAGCTTGTTGGTGTCTTTGTTTTTTCCAAATGTACTTACAAAATGAAACTTCCCTCTCCGTTACGGGAAAAAAAAATCCTCTTTGAAAGTTTTATTACATGCTTGCAAGTCGGAAAGCAAAGATTCACATGGATTTCTGCAGACGTTTCTTCCTGGTTTAATATTAGATAACACGATTCTGCTTCTCAATCTGTGCTTTGATGGTGTCTCTGAACGTTTTAGTGACTTCGCTGGTTTATATACCCAACCTTTCCATCAAAGAAGGATGCTCAAAGAAGCTAACAATCAACACCGTAAAGAACCAAATGAATTAAAAATATGCTGAAAGCATCCATGAAAGAAAAAAAAATAGTACCCTGCCAATTAAAAGCCAAGATTGGCAGCTGCAGATAGCCTCTTAAAACAGACTGGCTCAACTCAAGCTGGACTCTGGAGAATACATAGATACATCCATGTTGTTTTCTTGAACTACAGGACATGATAGCAGTGTTCCAATATCTCAGGGGCTGCCCCAAAGAAGAGGGAGTCAAGCTATTCTCCAAAGCGCCTAAAGGCAGGACAAGAAGCAACAGATGGAAACTAACCAAGGAGAGAAGCAACCTGGAACTAAGGAGAAACTTCCTGACAGTGAGAACAATTAACCAGTGGAACAACCTGCCTCCAGAAGTGGTGAATGCTCCAACACTGGAAGTTTTCAAGAAGAGACTGGACAGCCATTTGTCCGAAATGGTATAGGGTTTCCTGCCTGAGCAGGGGGTTGGACTAGAGGACCTCCAAGGTCCCTTCCAAATTTATTTTAAAAAGTCCTCAACTTACAACAGTTCATTTCGTGACCCTTCAAATTTACAATGCCACTGAAAAGAGTGACTTACGACCGTTTTTAACCATTTGCGACCGTCACGACATCCCCACGGTCACAGGATCACAATTCAAACTCTTGGCAACTGACTCACATTTAGAACGGTCCTGGGGTTGCTGTGATCCCCTTTTGCGACTTAAGAGGGGAAAGCCTCTTAACCACTGTGACACTAACTTCACAACTGCCGCACAACTTCACCCTCGTGACAAGAAAGGTCGTAAAACGGGGCAGGATTCACTTCACCAAGGTCTCATTTGACGACAGAAATTTTGGGCTGAATTGCGGTCATTGAGGATCACCTGTAACTTAATAGTGGTTTCCAATTACTCGGAGGCACAATGTTCCAAAGGGCCAGAGCAACGGCAGGGAAAGCTCTTCTCCTGGATCCCACCAGCTGAATATCTTGACTGGTGGGGTCCACAGCAGGCCCCTTCTGCAGGCTGATTGGGGAGGACCAATCCTAGTGTGGTGAGATGGTTCCTCTTATAGCCTGGACCCAAGCCATGAAGGGCTTTAAAGGTGATAACCAACACCTTGAACTGTACCTGGTAGCACTTAGATCTGCATGATTTTGATTCAGTTCTCCACAAACGCCGCAGTACAGGTGTTCAACCGTTGCCGGTTTGTATTAAAAATTATTCATGAAGAGGATATTTTTAAGCTGACTATAATATGAGAAATTATCCTTCATTAGGCGCTGGCTGTTTTTTTCTGATTCGTATAATTACGGAGGAGAAACCTTGGCTGCTGCATTCTGCTGTGTTAGAATTATATGTAAACAAAGGCACAGTAACCAGAGAAATTGAGTGGGATGGTCAGATTTTATAGAAGGAAAAAGAAAAAAAAGAGGAGATGGTGATAGAACGATCGCAAAACCTTTCTAAAAAATGGGTGGTTCTGCGCCGTGCCTTTTAGTTGGCTTTCCCCAGCTGTGGACTAAAATTTCCACTGCAGATACTAAAAATAAACTTGAGCTGCGTGTGTTTTATATTGCATAAGATTCAAAGATACCACTCCTTTTTTTTTTTTTTTAATGGTTCAGGACTGCTTTTTTGTTAGGGATGGCTGCATTAGGACACATCTGGATGCAGGGTGTTTGATTGAAGGGGAGCAATCAGATGTACTATAGCTACCCAGTGTTCAACAAGGTTTTTCTGTTTTGGGTTGGCACAATAGTTAAGTCAAAAAAGAAAAAAAAAACATCTGTAGAAGAAAGCTTGAAGATGTGGTGGAACGTGATGCAAAGTGGGATATTCCCTAAGAAGCTAAGAGGCAAATCGGCCTGGAATCCTTCGTATGTAGGAAATGTGTCAAGGTGAACCCTCCCTCACCTTTCAGATGGAGGGGAAGAGCAGGCTGAGCTGGGAGGGAGGCGTTAAACACGTCATCAGTTTAGAGTCCTTGCATTTCCACAAGAGACCTGAGCCCAGCCTCTTCTATTCTGTTGACTCTTATCTAACACCAATTTAGCGCTGACCTTTAGTTGATCTAGATTCTTATGTATAGGCTTCAATAAATCATCTACACTGCCTCCTTCTGTATGGCCTTGATCCTTTGCACCTAACACACAGGATATGTCTAATACCAAAAAAGGAGAGTATTGAAATAAGGGACCCTTGGTGCTCTCTGAGCTTGAGTGTTTTCTTGCAGCCATTTCATTACCCAAACTAGGTAACATCCTAATTCAGTGATGGCGAACCTTTTAGAGACCGATTGCCCAAACTGCAACCTAAAACCCACTTATTTATCGCCGGGTGCCAGGTGGGCGTGGCCCACTGGGTGGGCGTGGCTGTGGTGGTCATGGCAGATTGGGTGGGTGTGACCAAGGTGGGCATGATCACCTCGATGTTGCTCATGGGGAGGGACACCTGTGGGGGCCGGGCAGGGTTGGGGGAGATTCAGGGGGTCTCTGGCAGGTGGGGTGGTGGGCAGGAGACTCGTCCTGCGGGGTGAGGCGAGGCAGGGTGGGGGTGCCATTGTCACAAGGTGAGGCAGGGGCCAGGGACGGCTGCTGTTTGACACCATCAGCCCTTGCACACACAGGCCAGCAAGCGCATGGGTGCTGGGATGCATCCAGCCATGTGGGACCTCAGCGAGTTAGCAGGGAGCTGGTTGAAGAGGGATGGTTGCTATCTCCGGGGCATGGCGCACGTGCCCACAGAGAGGGCTCTGAGTGCCGCCTCTGGCACGCGTGCCATAGGTTCGCCACCACTGTCCTAGTTTTTATCTGGATGTTACCTAGTTTGGTCTGCAAGACAGCCACCAAGCTCAGAGAGCACAAAGGACCCCTCATACATCTCATAGGTATGCAGAATAGGGTTTAGTCTGGAATGATTACTATCAGAGGCCAGGAACCAAGAAGGACAAGAGGATTCACTCAGATTCCTACCCATATTCACCTATAGGTAGGAATCTACAATCTTAAAGTACAAATCTTTTTACAGCCTGGAAAATTAAGACCGTTCCTTTCTCTGTTCCTTTTTTTGCCTGCTATGCAGCTGCAAGCTTCCTCACCCTTTGTCTGAATGTCAGCTAGGCAGCATTTGTTCCTCTTCTCTTTCAAGGTCATTCCCATATACCATTGCAGAAACGTCCTCTTAGATGTTGAATTGAAAGTCAATAGAGCTGCTTTTCTGAGTTTTTTTTTTTTAAATTTCATAAGCTATATGGGTGATAGAATTATGTGTTTTGAATCTGGCATCCAGCCTCATCCTTTTGGCTGTCCTTGAGAATGCGAGACCCACCGGCGTAGAGATTTTCATTCGTTGCTCTTCTCCATCAAAGTCAGTAGATGATTGGTAATTAATTAATTAGTATTTGGTAATTAATTAATTAGTAGTATTTGATGATTAATCAGTTACGTAATTAGCAAGTAATCTTTTTTTCTCTTCCTGCATTAATGAAAGACACAGCGAATTTGAGATGTAATGCTTCTGGGACTTAATGTGGGAGCAGGAAGTGTCTCAACATAACATGGATTATTTTTGTTTTTAATTGCGAAGTCGTGTCCACCCATCGCGACCCCATGGACAACGTTCCTCCAGGTCTTCCTGTCCTCTACCATCTTCTGGAGTCCATTTAGAACCAACATGTTTTTCCTCTATCCCTGTTCTAAAAACAACAACCACAAAACAGATATATTAGCCTGAGTTTTAGAACAAGGCTTCTATTGTTCAGTTGAAGTTTCAATCTTGGACAGGATCCATTCTATTTGGGAAGTTATAATAATAATAATAATAATAATAACAACAACAACAACAACAACAACAACAATAATAATAATAATAATAATACCTGCGACGATACCTGTAATACCATCAAACATCTACATCTGCCTATCCCAGGTCCTGGGTAAGGACTCGATAGGTAGACAAAATGCCAAATCCAGTCTGAACATCTGGCTGACTGTGCGATGATTGATAATAATAATAATAGTAAAGTTGGAAGGGACCTTGGAGGTCATCTAGTCCAACCTCCTGCTCAGGCAGGAAACCCTACACCATTTCGGACAATGGTTGTCCAGTCTCTTCTTAAAGACTTCCAGTTTTGGAGCATTTACTGCTTCTGGAGGCAGGTTGTTCCACTGGTTAATTGTTCTCACTGTCAGGAAGTTTCTCCTTAGTTCCAGGTTGCTTCTCTCCTTGATTAGTTTCCACCCGTTGCTTCTTGTCAGAATCCATGGAGATTCTGGAACTTGAACAACCCAAGTTCCAGAATCTCCATGGATGAAGGTGGGCTAGAACCTTCTCTATTGCTCTACTATTAGGATGCTGTTTTGAGATCCTGGTGAAGAAACATCAACCAAATCCATCCATAAACGTACTGCCAGAGCTTTCTACATCTCTTGCCCTCTTGAGATTTGGAGAGCGTGCTGTGGGTCTTCTCTCAAAGTAGCTGCCTTAGAGGTGGTGGCCCATCCTAACAGGATTGTCACGGTGAGGGCAACTGTTTAGAAAAAAAGCAGGAACAGTTCTTCCTTTCTGTTTTTTTTCCTAGCTTCTACCGGATGCTTTTGGACTTTCTGAATGCCTTTCTCCAAGGGTCCTCTTGTGCTCTCCTGAGTCAACCCTGATTAACGACATGGAACAGTTTGGTTTTCTGTATGGGGCAGAAGGGAAACTGCTCTTCCTTGGCAGTTTTGCGCAGCTTTACGGTTTTGTGTGGTAGGGTTTGGGGAACTTTTGTTTCCAGGGTGGTCCAGCAGACTTGACCTTCTTTTGTTTAGCAAATAGAAGGCCGGATTTACATAGGATCTGTTCAAATCATTGGGTAATAATTGTGTTTATTCAGAAGTCCACCCCCCCCACTCCCTCCCTTGCACAAGGGAAAGGGCTAGAGGAGTGTGTGCATGCATATTGCGAGTTAACTGTCAGTGCCTGGTACTGAACACTTCCCAGAGCTAGCTGAGCGATTTGGCTTGGAACCAAACAAGCAGCTGCAAAATAAAGTACATTTGCTTAAGTTTGGCACTGCCTACAGTCTGTTTGTTAGTACAGTTTTAAATTGAGTTTCAATGTACAATGAGGCGACGAAGCTTCCAGATTGACATGGCACGTGGGAAAGACCTTGGGAGACCGAGCGAAGAGACGCTGCCAAGGGAATGGTGAGAGAAGAGGTAGCATAGCCCGCAGCTGCACAACGGGTAGAGAAAGAAAATCACGAGGGACCTTCTCTAGTTTCTCGGACTGTATAGGGGACTTGCAAGATTCTGCCAATGTAGCCTTACAGTAAAGTGGAATTGGCTCCTCGGAGTGTGATTCCTATCTGTTTTAACTGTGAGGGTGACACAGATGGCCTGAGAGTGAATAATCTGTATACTGTCCTGGTTTGGATTTAATACGTATTCTTGGCCTGCTGATGAAGAATGTTTTAACCTCAAAGTTTGTCTTTGTTTACAAGAATGGCTCCAAGGGATCTATAGACATACCTAAAAGGAAAAAAAGGGTAGATGACTCCTTTGTTTGGAAAGGGTGAGAGGAAGGAAGGAAGGAAGGAAGGAAGGAAGGAAGGAAGGAAGGAAGGAAGGAAGGAAGGAAGGAAGGAAGATGGAGGAGGGAGGGAGAAAGGGAAATGGAGGGAGGGAGGAAGGAAGGAAGATGGAGGAGGGAGGAAGGAAGGAAGGGAAATGGAGGGAGGAATGAATGAAGGAAAGAAGGAATGAAATCTAGCTATAGATATTCAAGGAAGGAAGGGAGGGAAGAAAGGAAGATGGAGGGAGGGATGGAAGGAAGGAAAGAAGAAAGGAAATCTAGCTTTAGATATTCAGGGGAGGGAGGGAAGGAAGGAAGGAAGGAAGGAAGGAAGGAAGGAAGGAAGGAAGGAAGGAAGGAAGGAAGGAAGGAAGGAAGGAAGGAAAGGCAGAGGGAGGGAGGGGGAAAGGAAGAGAGGGATTATTATTATGATCTAATTTTTATTATTGGATTATCTCCATTAATTTTATTTTTATTATTGACGATCTTCATGAAGTTGCATTCCTTTTTGCTGGTCATCCCAAGTGATGGATTTGGAGAGTTTGACACATTCAGAGTTGATGTGATTGAAGCAGGTTTTAAGACCTACAAATGTGCCAAGAAGTTCTAGGCATTTCTTATCTCTGGGGTGGAGATGAGAAATAGTGTATCTAGGGCTTCAATTCGCTCCATTTTTGGGAAAAAATCATAAGCCATTTCATCGCTCATTGCATAGCTGCTGTTTTATCAGAAATATTGAGCTGCCGGTTTAAGGTTGCCAATGGCAAGGAGGGCCATTAAGAGATCAACATTGCTGTTTTATCTTCCATTAACCAGAATATTTTCCCTCCCTTGTTTGGGGATTCTTTTTCCACAACTAGAATAAAAAAATAATCTTTCTGTCGAATGTACGTGCCCCTACAGAGAGCCTGAATGCATCACCATGACAAAAACCACACAGAATGTGATTAGTTTTCGGGTTTTTTTTTTTTTCAGCTCTCGGGTTTTGTGTGTGTGAATTACTGTCTGGTGTGAATCTAGGCCATTTGGTTGAAGTATGATTTGATACACTGCGTAAGCCCGGAAAATGAGTTAATTCAGCAATCTGGTTAAGCACATAATATACTGTAAACACAGCCACCGCTGAGTTCATTGCTTTAAGCTATAGCAAAGGGGGGTGGGATGTTTGTTGTTATTGTGGGTCTTGGTTAAGCAAATGGATTTTAGAGCACCCCTGCTGTTTTCTTTGGGCTTGGTTCAACACGAGAAGAAGAAGCTGAAAGGGGCCTTGGAGGTCATCTAGTCCAACCCCCTGCTCAGGCAGGAAACCCTATACCATTTCAGGCAAATGGCTGTCCAGTCTCTTCTTAAAATCTTCCAACATTGGAGCATTCACCGCTTCTGGAGGCAGGTTGTTCCACTGGTTGATTGTTCCCACAGTCAGGAAGTTTCTCCTTAGTTCCAGGTTGCTTCTCTCCTTGATGAGTTTCCACCCATTGCTTCTTGTCCTGCCTTCAGGCGCTTTGGGGAATAGCTTGACCACCTCTTCTAAACATCAGATGATCTGGGGCGATTGGATCGATTTCATGAAAAAGCTGAAAATTCAAAACGGATTTGCTCCTCACTGACGGCAGCCTGTGTTCTGTTTTGCTTCTAGTCTTGCCAAACCTTTGGAATGTAGAGAGCGAATTCTCTATTCCTGAACAAAAGCAAGTTGAAAACAACGAAGAGCGCGCAAACTCTTATGAAAGGAAGCTGATTGAGGTAAGAAAAGGTTTTAGGTGGAAGACGTTCCTGCAGTTCTTCCAGCCTTTATGTCATAACATTTAATGATTCTTTAATTGTGGCTTCTTCGGAAGGTTAGCATTTGTTTTACAAACAGGGGCACGATCTTATGTCTTCTGTGTCAGCTAGTATTTTTTTTTTCCCAAAAGGGAGGATTTATTGCATGCTAATTGTCAGGGATTATTACGCCCGGTAGATGTCCTCAAACCATGTAGCTTTTCCTACACAAAACTACCTCGGCCAGGTAGGAATTATGGGAATCTCAGTCACACACACACACACACACACACACGCACACACACGCACACACACGCACACACACACAATATTAATATAAATGGAGATCCTCCAGTTAATTACTGAGGCTACATCCCTAAGATTCTACACTACTGACATCCTGGACTAGGTCTGTAAGAGGAAAAAAAATCAGAGGTTTTGAATGTTAATTTCCAAACTTCGCAGCAATGGAACATCTTGCCTCCAGAAACCGTGGGCGCTCCATCACTGGAGATTTTTAAGAAGAAGCTAGCCAATCATTTGTCTGAGATGGTATAGGTTTTCCTGCTTGAGCAGGGGGCTGGACTAGAAGACCTCCAAGGTCCCTTCCAGTTCTATTCTATTCTATTCTATTCTATTCTATTCTATTCTATTCTATTCTATTCTATTCTATTCTATTCTATATTCTATATTCTATATTCTATATTCTATTCATTCTGGAGTGCTATGTCACTGGTAAAGATGTAGGACAAATTGGCAAGCCACCATTCTGACATCAGTTTGAAGGAAATATGCAGCTTTGTCTGTTGCAGAGGTAGCTCAGGTAAGAAGAGAAAACTGGCTGGATTTGAAGCGATGTCTGCCTACACATATTAGCTATATTAATCTGGGCTTAATTGTTGATATCTACAGCAACTGGATCCACTTGTTTCTCCTGTAGGTAACCTGGAATCACATAATTTGAGTTGATGGACCTCAAACTGTTTCCTACGGATGGGAATTCAGATCAAAGCCTTCCTGACCGATGGCTACTTAGCCTCGACTTGGACCATAATACCCATAGTACCGATTCCTCTGTCTACCACTAGCAAGCCTTTTTTTCTAAAATTCGGTGGCGGACCTCATCCATTGTTTTGTGTTGGAGCCAGAGAAGGCAGGGTTGATCGACAAGACGACCCTGTAGAATGAGAAAGCAGAATGTGGCTTCCTTTGTAGGTTTTGCCGGCCTTTTATAAGACCGGATGCTCTTCATAATGGAGCTTTATTGATGGTTGAATCAGGAAGCTCATCAGGCTTAAAACGCACTATTGAATCAGAGCTGATCTTTGAGGTGACCCAGTGCACGGCTTGATGAGGCCCAGGGAGAGAAACATGGTCCTTTGTTTCTAAGAGCAAGGAATAAAAGATAGAGAAGAGGAAAGGTTGAAAAGCCAATGCCCTGAATTGTATAAATCTCCTCCCTTCTCCAACTTTGTTTCTTTGTTCTTCTCTCTCTTTCTTTCTTTCTTTCTTTCTTTCTTTCTTTCTTTCTTTCTTTCTTTCTTTCTTTCTTTCTTTCTTTCTTTCTTTCTTTCTTCTTTTTTTGTAACTTCTTGTGATTTCACGGCCTGGCTTCAAATCCTAGGTAGGCAAACCGGTCACTTGTTTCCTGTTCACTTCTTGGCATAATCAAGGGCCACAGGTAGTCCTGGACTTACAACATTTAGTGACTGTTCAAAGTTACAACGGTACGGGAAGAAAGTGACCGGTTTTCACCCTTATGAAAATACTCCTTAAATTCCTCCAGTGATGGAGCACCCACAACTTCTGGAGGCAAGTTGTTTCACTAGTTAATTGGTCTCTTTGTCAGGAAATTTCTCCTTAATTTTAGGTTGGCTCTTTTCCATCCATTGCTTCTTGACCTGCCCTCAGGTGCTTTGGAGAATAGGTGGACTCCCTCTTCTTTGGGGCAATCCCTGAGATATTGGAAGACTGCTATCATGTCACCCCTACTCCTCCTTTTCATTAAACTAGACATAAATGAATGGTAGAAAATACTTAGAGTAGAATAGAGCTGGAAGGGACCTTGGAGGTCTTCTAGTTCAGCCCCCTGCTCAAGCAGGAGAACCTATATCATCTCAGACAGGTGATTGTCCAGTCTCTTCTTAAAAACCTCCAGTGATGGAGCGCCCACGATTTCTGGGCGCTGTTCCATTGGTTAATTGTCCTGACTGTTAGGACGTTTCTCCTTAATTCTAGGTTGCTTTTCTCCTTGATCTAGATCAGTGGTTCTCAACCTGTGGGTTGGGACCCCATTTGGGGTCGAACGACCATTTCAGGGGGGGTCGCCAAACAACGCAGTCTGCCATTTTTTTCCCCCTTTTCCTTAGCTGTGCTACTCCCTTTTATTCTATTGGCTTTTGAAAGCCAATAGAATAGACTCTCTTGAATAGAGTCTAATTCTATTGGCTTTCAAAAGCCAATAGGAATGGTCCAGGCTGTCTCTGCTCTGCTGAGCCTGCCAAAAGTCCCATTCTGCAAACGGTGCTGCACCAGTTGAGTAGTCCTCGACTTACGACTGGCTGAGTAGTCCTCGACTTACGACCGGTTGGGGATCGCGGCATTAAAAAGGTTGAGAACCACTGATCTAGATTATCTGTCACTCGTCTTGCAATTCTCTCCTCTCTCTGTATATATGTATGTGTGTGTGTGTGTGTGTGTTATAAGATATTTTTGCATAGATATATTTTTATATACATACATACATACATATATATTCACATATATATATATTCTATCTAGAATGCTGTATGTTACACCCTGTTGCCCAAATATGGGAGAGAGAAATCTTTTGCCTGGTATCAGCTCAAACTAGAGCCATCCACAGGCAGCAGTCACAACTGTGACATTATATACATTTCTAAAATTTCTATATATATATAGAAAAATCACACACACACACACACACACACACACACACACACACACGCAAAACCACCTTATAATTAACAAACAAAAATATCTGATGCACAGCTGTCCTGGCGGGAAGGGACACACCGAACAATGGATAAATAGTTATGAAATGTCTTAATCATAACAATATAGAGAAAGCCGATCACAGGATCCTGATCCAATCAGACGTTTTGCGTAAATCATTTTCAGAGTCGAACTTCCAATAGCCTATAATTATATCCAGGAAATTTGGTATGTGGGCACCGGAGTTCAGCAGGCAATCAATCACAGAACATTTCTCTGAAAAGTCAAATTCAGGCAAACACCAGCTGCCTGCGCAAGGAAAGAAACCGTTATGGCTATAATGAAGGCTGACTTGGAGGTGGAGCTGGCTTAAACGAAAAATGCACACTTAAACGGTTCGGGCCTCCCATTTTCTTAGCTTGCCTGTGTGTGGATTCTTACGTTGCTTGCAGTTGTAGGTCTGGGTCTTTTGTCTGTGGAGATTCTCATCATCCAGGTCAGGGTGGTCCCAAGGGTGGTTTTTCAAGACGCACCTGGACTTTCTTTGTTTTCCCTTGAAGAAGTTTCACTTCTCGTCCAAGAAGCTTCTTCCATTCTGACTGAATGGTGGGGAATGGAAGGATTTAATATAATATAATAGTAGTAAAGTTGGAAGGGACCTTGGAGGTCATCTAGTCCAACCCCCTGCTCAGGCAGGAAACCCTACACCATTTCGGACAAAGGGCTGTCCAGTCTCTTCTTAAAAACTTCCAGTGTTGGAGCATTTACTGCTTCTGGAGGCAAGCTGTTCCACTGATTAATTGTTCTCACTGTCAGGAAGTCTCTCCTTAGTTCTAGGTTGCTTCTCTCCTTGATTAGTTTCCACCCGTTGCTTCTTGTCCTGCCTTCAGGTGCTTTGGAAAATAGCTTGATTCCCTCTTCTTTATGGCAGCCCCTGAGATATTGGAATACTGCTATCATGTCCCCCCTTGTCCTTCTCTTCGTTAAACTAGACATACCCAATTCTCGCAACCGTTCCTTATATGTTGTAGCCTCCAGTCCCCTAATCATCTTTGTTGCTCTTCTCTGTACTCTTTCTAGAGTCTCAACATCTTTTTTACATCGTGGTGACCAAAACTGGATGCAGTATTCCAAGTGTGGCCTTACCAAGGCATTGTAGAGTGGTATTAATACTTCATGTGATCTTGATTCTATCCCTCTGTTAATGCAGCCTAGCACTGTGTTGGCCTTTTTAGCAGCTGCAGCACACGGCTGGCTAGATATTTATATTCCTTGCAGTCATCCGGTCATTAGCACTCTTTCTGAGAATCGTGGAAGCCCCATGGAGGTTTATCTCTGCCCTCAGGGTCACGTGAATAGTGCAAATGGGTGACTTTGGGTCATCCACCAGGAGACTGTGAGTTCTAGTATCATCTTAGTCATGGACCAATTGGTGGCGCAATGGTTAGAATGCAGTACTGCAGGCTACTTCTGTTGACTGCCCACTGCCAGCAATTCAGCAGTTCGAAGCTCACCAGCTCAAGATTGACTCAGCCTTCATGAGTTTTCACCATCATGAAGGTTATTTGAGCTATCCTGGGAGAACAAAACGCTCACACTTTTTCAAGGGGCCACTGTACTTTCTTCGTCTTTCCTTGAAGAAGTTTCACTTCTCATCCTAGAAGCTTCTTCAGTTCTCACTGAATGGTGGGGAAATAGAAGGATTTGTATTCCTTGCAGTCATCTGGTCGTTAGTTCTCTTTATGAGAGTCGTTGAGAACACTTGGAGGTTTATCTGTGCCCTCAGGGTCACCTGAATAGTGCACAATGGGTGTGGAACCTTTTTGGAACTGCCAAAAGGACTGGGTTGTGGAAAAGTCTGTGGTTTGTTTCATGCATTTGTATCCTGCCTTTATTGGGGGCAACAGGCTGACTCTGTAAACTGCTCAGAGAGGGCTGTAAAGCACTGCAAAGCGGTATATAAGTCTAAGGGCTATTGCTATTGCTATGAAAGCCTGCTGGGTGACTTTGGGTTCAATCGCCAGCAG